AGGAGCTGCCACCGTAATTGCGAGGAAGTAGCCGTACCCAGCGAGCATGGCTTCCGACGGAAGATAATCCCACACGTAGTCGGTTGAAGAAACGTTTGCACTGATCGAGGCCAGCTCCTCGACAAGCTCCTCTACACCTCCGGCTCGACGGCGAAGCTCCAAGCTGATCGAGCTACATCTGCCATCGGTACACAAGGGCGCAGTAGAGCTCAAGCGGATCTGAGTCGGTTGGCCAGCCCACCACTCAGTGCATGCGTCAAGTTCACAAGACGGAGTGGCAAGTGACAGGGCTGCACAAACTCCCTCCGAAGTGCCGGAGCAGTTCACGCGTACCTGAGCTAGACTCCATGTTGCAATGGCAATGGCAGTGTACTGCAGGCAAGTTGTGGCAACAGCTAATCAGCAACTAAAGCATCAATAAAACGACCCCAAAAGGCATGGGAGGCAGACTCGCACGGCGCGCATTCTATGCACAGCGAATTCCATTGCCCCACGTCTGGCTTGAACTTTCCGCTGGGGCATTGCTCGCACGAGCCTGCATTATCAGCGCTGCAATTGATCAGCTCATAGCCAGGGCTGCATGGAACACAAGCCTCACAAGGACCCATGCCGTCACCGACCTTTGATCTTCCAGGTGTGCATGCTAGGCATGGAGACAACGGAGCTGAGCAGGCAAGTCTTTCAAATCCGGGGGGGCATTTGCAGGATGTGCAAGTTCTGCCATCTTGGTTGCGATAGTGCTCGTGATGGCAGTCACAATCGTAACTCCCGATCGTGTTGTAGCACACTTGCTCGCAAATTCCCGGATAATTGGGCTCACACTCGTTTGTGTCCGTGACACATATTGCTTGCTGGAAAGTCGGCTCCACATACCAATAGTCCCACCAAGCGTTGACCCTCCTTCGCAGACGGACATGCTGTCAATGAAACGAAAACATGAAAGTCACTGCATGACGCTTGATCAGCCCCTAAACTAAGCGCGTCACCTGCGACGTCTCTGGTTCAAGCTACGCTCCACGATACGATACTTGAAGGTCACAGTGTCTGTCCCAAGCCATGTACCAGCACGACTGGTGTAGTAGCAAGTGCAAACATTCACCGGCCGGGCATACCTTGTTGCTTCGGATTTCATGTTGCATTGGATCTCGGGCTGCGATTGATTGGGAAGATGTGTTCTAGATTCTAGATTGGAAGAACTTCCAGTGCGCTCCTTTCTGCCCTTAGTATTGGTCAAACACAACGACGTTGCTGTGACACGCAGAGCTGCCATTCAGCAAGCGAGCCTGGGGCGAATGGACAATCACACGTGACATGTCCACCTTCTGTTGCACCAATGCTCCACATTGCCAAGGTGTGGCGGCCTGTACTGTGCAACAACTGGAAAGGATGATGTTGTTCGGCACAGGCTGTTAGAGACCGACCTGCACCCGTTGAAGCATTGACGGACTGCAGCCTGCGGCCAGAGCCCTGAGCATTGCTTGGGTTGCTTGTGCGTGCCTGCATCTGGATGGCGCGCCCTGAACGGGTGGCTTTGGACAGGTCAAGGGACGAGACATCCTGATCGAGTTCCAACTCGTGCCCGTGCTGCTGGAAGACGAGGTCAAGCGGCTCAACACAAAGGTGTCCGAAAGCTGCTTCCAGATAGGACACCTTGCTGTCTCGTGGCACGCTCATGATGATCATTGCATCGTTCCCAGGCACGAGAAGCAGCACAGGGATCTCGAACTCTGTGGCTGCCAGAACGGATTGCATGAACGATTCTTCTTCTGCGGTGTCACCAGCATCTTCCACTTCACCGTCCGTCATGTTCGCAACGATGCCACCCTCGACGGCCAGCACAAAGGCAAGCGTGCCCACAATGCGGGGCAACATCCTCCCCATGCCTGCAGCTGCACCTTATGGTTAATATCTTGACACTGTGAGCATAAACTCGGGCTTGCGAAGCAGGTTCCAAGTCGTTGGAGCGTGCGCTTTCATGATTTCCACACCAACAGTCTCTGTGCACACAGCGGGCGCAACTGTCTTGTACCTTGCGTGCTGTGGTAAGAGATCTCCTAGTAAGTCATGTTCAGAAAGTTAGAGAAGAGATGCGGATAAGGAGGGCAGAGCATGGACCTCGGGGTGCCCTTAAACAATTTCATCTTGGCGCAGTGCGAGCAAGTGCTCATGTCAGTGACACAACAACACTCCGAATAAGCAACATGCTCCTGTCAACTTAGTCTACTTGCTGCGTCGCATCCGCCAAGGCATGTCAAGGTCACCTATAACCAGCAAATCTTTGATTGCAGCTGGAAGGGTGTTAGCTCAGCATTGCTTTGTGATGGCCTGCTGTAGTACCTGGTAGTGCAAAATTGCAACGACACAATCTCTTCTTGACAAGCTGCTGAGAGCATAAGCTGGACTGCAAAGCTGCGCGCAGCAGACGGTCAGCCACTCACTGCGAAAGCCAGCACAACCAGAGCTCCGAACCCGCGCAACACAGAACAAACAGCATCCGATGAGAGATTTTCATCGATCCCAGGAGCCCTGGAAGTGCTGGCTATCTTGCCCAGAAATGTGGAGGTCGCTAAGACGGTATCCGATGAGAAGTCCTCAACCTGCTCAGGAGCCCTGGAGGGGCTGGAGGTGCTGGTCGTCTTGCTCCTAAATGGGGAGTTCGCCAAATGAGGGCTTGTAAAATCTTGTTAAACAGTCCAGGAGCTTGGCTGGTTGTAAGACTGTAAGGTATTGAATTTTGAGCTGTGTTAGTGTTGTACCATTCCGCTGCCGCATTGCTGCGCCAGCTGATGTCTGAGGTCTGCTTGATTACTTCTTGTTGAATGGCGATGCTTGAAGCAAGGATAACCGCTTGGTGTACATCATCCCCCCAAACAGCGGGCTCAGGCTGCCAAGGGGGGCATGGAAGCTTCGGTCTTGGGAAGACTGCCCATGAAATCGGTTTGTCGCCGTGCTCATCATGGGTGTGACGGTCAATTAAGGTCATGGACTGGCCCACTTGAGGTATTGAATCTGATGCTGGAGGCAGCGGAGGCAGTCCTTGTTCCGGTCAGCGTGCTCGCCAGCGTTGTGAAAGACAAGGTCGTGGTGGAAGTTCCACTTGTACTCACCATGCAACAAGAGCAAGACAAAAATAGTAAAGGACTCGTCGCAAATAATTCTGAAACCAGTCCTTGTACTGCTCGCTTTGCTCATCGACGTCGTAGAAGACGAGCTCGTGGTGGACGTGACACTCGCTCTGCTCGTCGACGTCGTAGAAGACGAGCTCGTGGTGGACGTGAAATTTGTACTCGCCAGCAAGAAAACAACGGCAAAAATTTGAAGACATTCTTTTTCTTACAGCATCTGTCTCCGAAAGACTTCCGTTGGTCCTCATATCCTACAAGCAGTCCTTGTAGTGGTCACTGTGCTCGTCGGCGTTGTGGAAGACGAGCTCACGGTAGACGTGCCACTTGTACTCGACAGGCAGCAGAACAAGGAAAAGCTGCAAAGACTTACTGCGAAGACTCACTTATTACAGCACCTGTCTCCACATCATGACTTCCGCGTGGGTCTTCATAGTCGATACTTCAAGCAGTCCTTGTTGCGGTCACTGTGCTCGTCGATGAAGTGGAAGACAAGCTCGTGGTGGACGTGACACTTGTACTCGCGGCGCAACTCAGGCAAGAACTCGGCAATGATTGAAGCAATTCTTTGCACTTACGGCACCCGTATCCAAGCGCATGACTCTCGCTTGGGCCTTGACGGCCAACACTGACACCCACCCAGTCCTTGTTGCAGTCGCTGTGCTCGTCGGTGTGGACGTCGTGGTCGTGGTGGATGTTCCACTTGAGCTGACAGGGTAGAAACAGCAAGCAAGCGCAAGTTAGCAAGAACATAATAAGTGTTGTCATTCAAGTGCTGCCACGGCAGAAAACAGCATGAAGTCCTCGTCGTCGTCGTCGTCGTCGTCGTCGTAAGGGGCAGCATTGACAAGACATCCACATCGGGCATGGCGCCAGCCGGCCACTTGGCCCATCTGGCACTTAAAGCGATGGCACTTGTGTCTTCACCCCACGCCGTGGTGCTGGGTAGGTTCGAACTGCTTCCGAGCCAGCTGTTGCCTTCAAAAATGATAGTTGTCATCTGTTCGGCTTCCCTGGCCGAACTGGTGAAGTTCCATGTTGACTTTTCGGAAACGTTGTTTGGAATGGCACCCAACATGCTGCGGATTCGCATGTTACCCACATGGACATCTGCTGACAGCTGTTGCCCTTCGACGAACACCGATGCTGATTGAAAACCATGCGGCTTGCCAACTGCAATAGAGAGCAAGCCATGTGTGCTCAGCCTGATTTCCATTCCTGCCAAGGCCTCCATGCTATTCTCCGCAGTGGACACACACCAAGCTTGGATGAAAACGCTGTCGTATTTAACCCATGTGCCGTTTTCAACACCAGCATTGTCTGCATACCACACCTGCCGTCCTGCACAAGCAATTCTTCTCTGTCCATCTGCATTCAAGGGAATCGACCCCAGGTCTCCAGAAGCTTCACACAAATTGCCAAGGATCTCGATGAGTGCTTGCTTTCGTCCATCTTTGAAAATGGTCGAAGAGTACCACATTCGGGTACTTGCAGGAACTTCCTGGGCCCAAATTTGCCCCGCATCATCGACAAACCCAATGTCTCCATCATATGCTTTTCCCGCGATCATCTGTCCAGTCACGTCCACTTGCATCCACTGCTCGCGATTGGCATCTACTGCTTGCCATGCCAGCATCACCAAGACATGCAGCCGCACGGCCATTGCGGCAAGATTGGCGCTGTGCACTGCACCACACAAGCCTCCCAACACGTGTGAACCGAAACGCAACTGGTACTCCCACAAGGTATTGGGGATTTCAGGGCCGGGCTTGGAGAGGGCTTTGGGGTGAAAGCTCCAGCACGGCCCAGATTTGAGTCTGTGCTGAACTTCTCCCAGGGCCCTGCAAGCACCAGCAAGTTCAAGCGAGGCAGCGCAGCTTCTCACTCTCGTCCGGCTTCTCCTCCGGCCTGCTCGACTTCCATCAGTGTTGGGCTGAGTTTCGGGTTTAGGATGTGGGGCATATAGGCTTCAGGTTTGGGCGTCCATAAAGTTTTCGGCTTGGGTCTAGGCTTTCGCTGTACAAACTTGCGCGAAGCTGAAGGACTGGCACATGAAACCCGTACGTCCTTCAGACCTGACGCCGTAAAGCATCCAAAGCCGCCATAGCCCCAAACTCTCAAGGTTTAGGCCCTAAGAGGCCCTACACCTTGATCCCATCTGAACCAGCGGCCAGCCTGCGGCGGGCCTCGCGTTCGGCCATTTGGAGGTTCATGGGGCAGTAAAAACCAGGGTTAAGAAGCCAAAAACTAGAGATCTCCTACTTGGAACTCACCACCCTTCCTCACAGCAACATGCATGTTGAGGACCCCTACGCTGTGCCTGATTGGGCCACCAAACCATCTACATCCGCGCTGGTAGCCCCTGGGCTCCGAGCCGGATACTGCTTCAGGATGGCATCGAGCTTTTCGAAGAGCTCGCGCGCAGTTTGGCCCTGGCGCTGTCAAGGGTTGAAGGGTGGAGTTCTTGGGGCAGTTTAGGGTCGAGGGAGTACGGTTTGGGGGAAAGTGTCTAACTCTAGTCTAGAATTGAGGATTTATGGCCTTGTCTTGCTTTGGGGGTCGGTCCCAACACAGGGTTGTTGAGCTTCCCAAGGCCCACAAAACTCCAAAACCTTGAAGCCCTAAATTTTCAAACCATGGATCCCATAGGCATCAGCATTTGGCGCTTAGAAGTTCGGGTCGAAGCCTTTCAGGCCTAGACCCGAGTTAAAACACAGTAGTCCATCCACAGGAACGCGCCCATTCCGCGATACCTCGACGAGCTTCTGGGGGATCTGCATGCGAGCGCAATGGCTTTGAGTGTCTTTGGCGAGGGCACCTGGCACCAGAAAGCCTGCATGCCCCAAATCCTAAGGCCCAAGCCCCAAACCTTGAACCGCCCAACTGTGGGGTCCGTTTAGGGTTTACTAATTTAGGGTTTAGGGTTTAGGGAGGTCTTGCGCCCAAGGCTTAGGAGACCTGACTTGAGGACTCCTTGGATAGGGGTTTGAGGTACAAATGAGGTCGCAAGCAGCTAAAAACTACCGTCATCTTGCTTCAAGAATCATACTTGTAGCAAGCCATTAGCCTAAGTAGAATTCCAGGCTACGAATTTTGGTGTTCATGGTTGTTTTCGGGCAGGGCTTTCGGTTCTCGCGTCTGTGGAAGAACCACGTTTGTTGCACGTGAGTAGGAAAAGGCTGAAGGCCGTTCCCCCCCATGGTTTCTGAGGCGCGAACTGCAAAGACCTCGCAGTTTGTCTGCCGAGGTCTTGTCCTTTGCACTGTTTGGGTTTTTAGGCTTCTTCTCGGAGGCCTCGAGGGTTGCATGGCTACGTGCTCATTGGCCTTCAGCTGCAGATTGAAGGTCAGGGAGTTGTGCTGCGCAACCATAGCAAAAACAGCGGGAAGCCGCTCTGGGCCCCAAACCCCAAACAAGTTCCACCTGAAAACCTGTTGGAAAAAATCTCTGGGAAAGAAACGCCCGACCTGGTCCTCAGCCCTCAACCTGGCGAAGCAACCCAAGAGGCCCTTGACTACAGGATTTGCGTTGCAAGCTCGAAACCCTCGACCTTGCTAGGGAGCCGGGCACGATGGGTGGCAGTCCTGCAAAACATCGAAAAATTTCGGCGTGATGGTGAGAGTGGGGAGGGTGTAGGATACTTCACCCTTAATTAGGGTGTTTGGAGTTGTTGCAACCTGTAGCCTGTGTACCAGTATACACCCAGAATCGCCTTGACTGCCGTGCAGGGGATCTTGAAAATTCGAACCTCAAACCCTAGCACGCACCCTTCATTCACCTTGGCGCTCGGCCGTGTGGCGTCAGAGACTCCCTATGAGCAACCTCCCGTTTCCTCCTGGCTGGGAATTGGGTTCCCCGGCTTAGGTAAGGAAACTTTCACATAAAGATCTTGCAGGTATCCAAGACGCTCTCTGCAAGCACACTTGCCGCAACATTACGAAGTTGGGTGCTTTCCCACCGCCGAAGGAGAGCGAGCATCAGCCTAGAGAGTCTAAAACTTTACAGAACGGTCGGCTCTAAAGGCCCCAGAGCCGCAGAAAGCAGCTGCGGAACCCTGAATGATTTTATGTGGGATCCTTACATGGATTTTGCGTTTTCCTGCAGCGTTCCCTTGGTTTTTGGCACCCACACAAAGATCTTGTCAAGTTTTCCCGCTTGTGTTGCTACTTTCTAACATAGAGATTCTGCGATTGCTTTTCCGCTAGAATCCCCCACTATTGTAGCGATTCTGCTTAGGCACGACATCTGCCGAACCTCCAGTACTCACGATACCCCTAGTAACGAGAGATGCATGCTCGCATGTAGATGGGATGGTTCCTTCTGGGGGGGGCGCCATTTTGATTTTATGTTCATCAAACGTATTGGTCCCTGACTAGCAAGGGATTCGAACCACTCCGGGCCTGGATTTTTTGACCCTAGCACCCTCTCAGCCTAGAGCTGTTTAGGTTTGGGCCAAACCTCAAACCCCACAACCTCCAAGACTTTCGACCTTAGGCTCTCAGTGTCGTTTGGTTTCTTCTCAGCCCACCGCCCATCCATACAACTAAATCTTGCACCCTAAGTGTTCTTAAGTCCCAGACAAGGGGCACCTAGCCAAACCCTGGCCATCGTCGCCTCCTGCTGGTGCTTGCCGTCGGGGTACTCCCCGTCTTCGGGGTCGCCGACTTGGCCTTGCGCTGTGCTTGGGGGAATCTGTTTGGGGGCGCTGCTGCCCTTCAAGGCTCTGCTTTCGACTAGGGATCCTTACACCGGAGAAGGAACCTCCGTAAACGTGCGGCGGGAATCAATTAGCTGGCCTGCTGGCGCAGAGTGGCTCAGTAAGAGCCACGATGCTTGAAAGACATGCCGATGGGATTGCTTTGCAGACGTTATCTTGTTGCACTCGCCACATTGCCCGGACGACGTCATGCGGTTGACTTGCATCTCACTGACCTCTTGAGCACTGTAACCGGTCTCTTGCGCAGCCTGGGTGAGATCTCAGATGATGAAGTGCTGTCGTCTGACAGCAGGCGGAGAATCTCTTCGTGGCCGTACTTACGGGCGCTCGTTGCGGGCGAGCTGCCGTCGTTGTCCGTGGCGTTCTTATCAGCCCCAGCGTCCAGGAGCAAGCGTACCACTTCCACGAAACCACGCTGCGAAGCAACCAGCAGAGGCGTGCCGCCGTTGTCATCCAGGGCGTCCTTGTCTGCCTTGAAGGCGAGAAGCAATCGAGCGATGTCTGAAAAGCCGTGGAAAGAGGCAAACCAAAGCGGTGTGCGGGAGCAAATGTCCGGCTTCTCTGTGTCCGCTCCGGCATCCAAAAGAATACTCACCATCTCTTCCAGTCCAGACTCGCATGCGATGCTCAGCGGGGTTTTGCCGAGGTCGTCGCTAAAATTCGGATCCGCGGTTGCCTCCAGCAGCAAGTGGGCAATCTGGGGGCGGTTGCGTTGTGACGCCGTGAGAAGGGGCGTTACATTACCCCAGATGTCCACAAGATTTGGATCCTGTGGTCGAAGCAAAAGCTCTTCGACCTGCAAAGAAGAGTATGTCGCAACCCTGGCTGTGAGCTGTCGAACTTGCCAGGCGTTGGCAGGGGCAAAGGGCATCAGCACCAGCTGCAAATCAAGATCCGAAGCAGATGTCAGCCGAGCTTCATCAGCTAAGATTTCCCCGCAAAGCAGGAGTCTCTGCCTAAAGCGTGAGTGACCGCACAGCTTCTGCAAGTGTCTCTTCAGTGCCCTCACATCACTCACATCCGCCATGGGTACTGCGGCCAGCTCATCCCCCGAAGCTTTCCAAACATGCAGCATGGGCGAGTCGTCACCCACCATGAAGGGGGTGCTCGAAGTCTATCTGTCTCTAACTACCCGACAAGCGGCATCCCGAAAGAACTGAAAGAAACTGAGCAGCCTTCGGAAACTCACGCCTGGTACAGCGACATACTACTGTAGATGATGAGCACGAAGCAACCAGGTACATGAACTTCTCTTAAATCACAGCGTGTAGAACCTGCAGAGACTTTGATCTTCCGTATAAAGCTACCAAATTTTCAGGATGCATGCCAACTTACACTCCAAGCGGTTGCTTCCACGTATGTTGCTTACAGATGGAAGCAAGCCGGTTCATTCATCATTGAGCATCCTTTTGCCGCCTGACTTCTGAGAGCCGAGATACGACTGTGTGGCCAAAAAAGGAGGCCACCAAGACTACGATACTACAGTGGGCCTTACCTTGCTTTGGGGCATGGCGTGAGCTTGAAAACCGGGGCGCAGGCCTGACAAAAAAGAAACCGAAGGCAGATTTTTGTGTACAAGTTTTGCAGCGAGCGCACCGAAAAGACCTTCAACCTTAAGAGCACCTAGACGCCTTCTGGGCTTCGTGTTCAGGGCTTGTAGGGCTTTCGCGCTCTGCGCATGTGGGATTCAAGGGGTCATACGGTCTACCTTAAGAACCCACAAACAAGGCCTCAGAATTTCAATTGGTCGGAACGAATCTTAGAGCCGCCACCAAAACACACGAAACGCTCGAAACCCTTAACGCCCCACGCCCTGAGCCCCAAAACCCCACTTCCCGCCCCTCCCCCCCGCCCGCGCGGCGCTGTTGTGCTTGACCTTCAAGTCGAAGAGGATGGGGTCCGACAGGACCTGGGGCTGGGGCTCACAATTCTAGAACCTTGGAGGGCTTGCAGGGCCGGGTGTTGACTCTCAAGACCCCCCCCCCAACCCCATGAGGCCAAGATCCGACTCCTCAGGCCGCCACATCCACGCCCTCGATGAAATCCTTAGCGCAAGTGGATCAGAGCTTGGCCAATGGGAGAATAATATGCAGCTGATTCAGCTAGTTATAACAGTTACATCTTTATTGGCGGGGCGGGGGGGGACACTTACACGGCCTTCCGTGTATAACTCTTAGAAGTACAGGCGAGGGTTTAGAGTCTGAGAGCCGAACATTGCCATGAACCGGAAACCCTCAATGAACAGGGAGCCCACCCCCGCCCAGCGAAACTCAAACGAAAATCGGACCCTAGAATGAATGTAAGCCCTGTGAGGGCCGGTCAAAACAGTCTAACCCCTGAAAAAGAGTGCGGATCCCAAAAGCTAAAGCCCCGCAGGCCCGTAAAGCGTAAACCCGATACTTGGAGGCTAATGGGCCGTAAGTTGGAGAACCCTTAGCCTGAGTCATCCCACGAACTACCCGTGAAAAGAGCACAGAGAACAGGGCCACCCGGCCCGCTTGTAGCGGCCCTCTCGCTTGAGCCACTCCATACGCCTGTAGCTTCAACAGTTTAGGGGGCTGCAGCGTCTCAAGCATGTTTCAGGGTGTGGTAGGATTCAGGGCCTGGGCACACTGGCATGGGCAAGTCTTCCCCTTGCGCCGGCACTGAACCCTCACTCCCGAAACCTGGCGCAAGGAAAAGCAACCGAATGCGGGCATGACAAAACGCTGCTCCCACAGAGCAGAAAAAAGTCACCGAGATTTTTCCGCTGGGTCGGTTTGGAGATGTTCGCGTCTTTTGGCATGTCGGTGACAGCTTTTGACATGTTGGAAGCGCGGACACACGGAAGCGTCGACTTCAGTAGAGATGCGGACGCTTTCAACAAAGGGTCTAGGTAGTACCTCATAGCACTTTCAGAGTTTGCAGTCCGAGGCTTTGGGTGCGGAGATATGCCATGACACTGACCTGAGCCGCCAGCCTTCCCGACGGTCCAGCCCCAACATCGAAACCCGACATCCCCTTCGGATGGGCCAGGGTTTCCGGTGTCTCTCCGCTTTTCTGGGTCCCACACTTGTGGACTGCCACGTCCTCCATGCGTTGCCGAAGCGGATCCTGCGTTTTGGTCGGACCAACTCAGTTTGTGTTGGCATGAGAATCACAAGTCATGCCTCTGAGCAACCCTACAATCTAAAGTTATTGTACACTCTCACACTCACAGTCACACCAATTAAGCCCTTTGAGAAAAACAACTCTAAACCCCCATGAGCCGGCGCGTACACTCGCGCCTCGTGCGTTTTCCGGGCAACGAGGCCTTGCCTTGGTGATGAGATGCGTAGCAGCGCCTTTAGAGGGATGTTTGCGGTTTCTGAGATGGTGTTTTAGGAGAGAAATCTTTCTCGGGCTGCGGTGGTGATCCCGAATGGAGTTTGGGTTTGGGACTTGTGGAAAAGTGTGGGGAATCTGCCTGTCAAGTGTGTAGCTGCTTTGGGCCTTGATTTTTGGGACACCTGCGACTGCGACCCTAATCCCTGATGCCTGGAGGCCGTAGCCCGAACGGACACAGGATCGTCTATGGCACAGGCATATCGTTCCGAAGAAGGGCAGGTGCAGATTGCGGCCTCGCCGCTGCAAACAAATTATGGGCACTTGGTTCACAGCTAGCAAGAGCTGAAGTTGCAAACTTTCGACTCCTTGGCAGCATCGAACTTTTCGGGACCACATCCACTTACGTCGACGTGCACTCATGCATCCAACCTTCTCCTGTGTGACCGGGTGGTTGTTGGTATTGGTGGTTTGTCCAGTTCTCGTTCGTGTTGGGGGGGTGAGGTTTGAGAGACGAGGCAAGCCTGTGTTTCACATAGACTGTCGACATGTTACGGCTCTGCACCTGCACCTTGATAAGCCTACCTTGCTGCACCTCTATTGCACCCTGTGACATTCCTGATGGTTGAGGCTACCAAACTCCGCGTGATTCAACCCCACGTGCACTCGCCCTCTCGACAGACCCTTAAAGCTCCGCCTTTTCCGCAGAGACATCGTGGCTGAAGCATCCTTGCGCCTGGGTTGGGTGCTTATTTTTTTAGACCTCTGCAACCCCAAAGCCACCCCTCGATGCCCTGGGTGTGTGCCTTGAGGCTTTCAGGGGGCTCCGGCTTGCAGCCGCAGGTGGATTAGGGCTTAGGGCTTTCATAGTCCCTCTACACAGGACATGTTTCGGATTTGCACCTCTATAGGTCATTCATGGAAATCACACCTCCCTAACCGTCCTGAGCGAACCAGACCCTTGAGCCGCAGGGATTGCCCGGGCCCCCCGACTGACTGTTGAAGCCCCGCTTGGGCGCTCCTGCGGAGGCCTTTCAGGAGAACGCGGCTCAAGGGTATCCTCGACACATCTCGGGACAGGGCTTAGGGCCTAGGGGAGCCTCCAATTCCTTGAAATCCTACATGAAGAGTTTGATGCTGTGGGCTCTTGAAGTGCGAGGTGAGAGCGGATCCGATGCGTGGGGAAGTGCAAGGCCGCAAGGACAGGGAGCTCTGACTGTGAGAGCCGCACACCCAAGGCTCAATAGTGTTAAGGTTTTGCGGATTTAGGTTACAGTCACAAAGGTGTCTTGGAACAACGAGGCCGCCGCTGGTCGTGCCCGGTAGCTGCCGTTGCCTCTGGGAATCTGTCATGGTATTGGTCCCGAAAGCACTAAAGCCTATGCCCTGCGCCCTCAGCCAGAAGCCCTCAACCCTTAGCCCTGAGCCGGCCCTAAGCCGTCCTGTGAAGCAGGAATTTGGGGCTTCGGCTGACCGTCCGGGTGAAGGTGGGTGACTTCATCAACGTCGGACTCATGGAGGCCTGAGCTTCGACTGCAAGGGGTGCGGGGGGCGGGGTATGACCTGAGCGGCATGTGAGGACGTGTTGGGGATTTAGGCTTCAGGAAGTTGGGCATGGGTTTCGGGGATTGAGTTTCGGGCTCAGGGAATATGCTTGACGAGGCTTGGACTCGGCTGCGAAACCCGCATCTCTCAGCAAGCGGTCAGTGCAGTAAAGCTTGGGTCCTTTACTGGCACTCTCAGTTTCCCAGCCCATCTTCTGACACAGAGGACCAAAGGGCCACCCAGAGAACTGACCTTTCGAAGCCACGCTGCTCGCGTGCTGCTCCTTGTCTTCTCTACGCGCTTGGGCACCTGCGGGCTCAGTATTCGGGTTGGGGTTGAGTTGTACTTCCCAGTCATTACCAGTCCCTCGTACAACACCAGCTAACCAGGGTTGGGAGCGATATGGTGCTCGGCGTCAAGTCAGATTGTGTGCTCGAACTGTCATGTTTTTGTTTTTACACCTTCATGACTTTGAGGATGACGGATACCCCGCAGAAGCTCCTGCAAGTTACTGCAACAGCCAAGCTAGCAAGGCTGAACTAGGGCCCGATCATTTAGATCAGCCCCTAAATCCCGAGCTCTTTTCCAAGGGGATGCCTCCTGGAGTGCATCCTCGGTAGCGCCTAGGCCACTCATGCACCACTCGGCTCAGAGTTCTTTTCCGAAGTTGAGGGTTTAAGGGGTGGTTTGGGGAAAGAAAAGGCCTGCGGCCTCCGGTTTCAAAGACTCACGGTGTTTGGTTTAAGGATGCTTGAGGCCCTAGGGAGCACATGTGAGAGCGAATCCAACACCCGCATCCTGGGAGCCCGTACTGCCCGAAACTGCAGTCAGGGGGCGCTGGAAGAAAGCAGAAACGCTCTGCCACTGCGGCTTCCTCCTCCGGGGTCACGGTGCCTAGATGCCCCTCCTCGATCCTTTTCAGGGTTTGGGGATTATAGGCTTTGGGCATGGAGTTGGAGAAATTAGTAAGGGCGGGTTCAAATCTTGCGGAAAACCAAGAGCCCTCCACCAGCAAGGACCAGCTCCTTGGCAAAGGCTTCACCTCAAAAACAGGGGAGGAGGCTCCGGGTACAGGGACTTTGGTAAATCAAAGGGAATGAAGCTTTACAACCATCCCTGCATATTGGAGCTGATTCTCGGGCTTGTGGGGTTTAGGGCGCATTGGTCTCGGAAAGCTCCGTAAACCCTAAATAAACCCTAGTGTGCACACCGTTGAACTGCGAAACCTGAGCCCTAGACCCCTAACCTCCAAATCCTTAAACTCTTAACCCCTATGGCCAGGCGACAGGGAAATCAGCTGCGAGCCGATGGTACACCTCTGAGATGTTCACCTGGCAAAGAAGGCCTTTCGGGCTTAGGGTTGATGGTTGGGGGGGTTTAGCGTTGGGGCAGCAACTTTGGCAGGTGGGATCGCAGAAATCGCAAGCAAGCGTGCCACCGGCGGACGCCGTGCCACCAGATTTGGTCCTGGCTGGAGGCACGAGCGAGGGCCCAACTTTGTCCCCAACATCCTAGAACCTAAACCCAAACAATCCTGGACCCCAAATTCCGCGCCTCACAACCCCAAATCCCTGACCCCGAAGCACCAAGAACCCGTAAACCCCTGGAACCCCCAAGCCCCAAACCCTTATGACCAGGGCCTTCAAAGGCGCAGGCATCGAGGCGACTCAAGATCACCTCGGCCCCACTCCCAGGCCTATAGGGGCAAAAAAACACCAAACACCGAAGGACCCTCTGGGAGGGCTTCCAGCTCGGCCACAGGCTCGCTGGCCGCCAGGCATGGCATTGGCACGGCTATGACACCGAGGGTTTAAAGTTTAAAGCTCTTCAGGGTTCAGGGGTTGAAGTTTAAGAGGGTTCAAGGCTTTTTGGCGGTTGGAAATCGGGTCAATGCGGGTTTTGGATGGCAGCTCCAGATTAGCCTGAACTATGCTGAACCGCCCGATGGCCACCACTCATTGCATTCTTTCGTTGTGGGCTTAGGGGCTTGGGGGCTTGAGGTCCATGAACTTTTGACTGCGTAAGTGCATGTGTGGTGGGGAGAGGGGGGGCAGCTGCAGTGGGCCGCGACGATGCAGAGAAAACATTCGGAAGGAGAGTTGGAAAAGCCCATATGATCCAAGCCCCTAAACCCTTCAAACCGTCAGGACCACTACATCCTAGTTGAGGATAGGAGAGTTAGAGTTTGGAGCTTGGGCCCTACAAAAGGTTCCACAAACACGTCACCAAAAACCTTGCAGCCCTACACACACCCTGTGCCCTAAACCCTGAACCCTCAACCGACAGAACAAAGCCTACTGGCTGCGCTTCCCAGCCCATTGCACTGACCCACAACTGGTCAAAGGTTATTCCCGGCCATCATATGCAGATCTTACCATGTAGCAACGAAGAAAGAATCCAAGAAGTCGTCGGTCCCCCGTCCACGCATAGTTGGTGAACGAAGGCTCACCGCCCTGATGCTTTTCTGAGTAAGTGCTCCTGGCCAGCGGCATGGTAGAAAGGGTTGAGGCGGGCCCTGCGGGTTTCAGGCTGGGCCTAAGCAATGGGCTAGAGCAAGTTCCGAGCATGGCTCCTATTCCCAAAAACCCTACACCGTACGCCACATACCCTGAAACCACGAACGCGACGACGGCTGCTTCGACATCGGCAGCCTCAAAGGCTCAAGCCATGAACAAAAACGACAGTAATCCCAAAATCGAATCCCCATCCCTAGAATGTTACACGTCCCTCAAGTAGCGAAATGATAGCCCACTATATCATGAGGAGATCAATCCCAGTAGCAATGTAGTGAAATATGCAGTAGTAATACTCATGGCAAAATGGCGCATACATATGTGCATATACGCATGTGTAGCGTCGTAGTTGGTACATGTACTTAATTCAATGTTTCGGGAGCTGATATGTTTAAGTGTTGTATATTGGGGCGAACTACCTTAAGCCCTAGGCCGGTGGTGGCAGCATTCCGGGGTGGGAGCCTGGTGCTTAAGGGATATACGATACGTATTCCAGAGATCCTCCTCTCCCCCTTAAGCTCCAGGAAGTGAAGCTAATGCCAACACCGGCCTCAGCACACGCTGGTTCATGTCGAGCGTCCACCCCTGCTCCGCGAGCGGTGGCTTGTCAGAGACATCTCTCAAAGATTGAAAAAGCGTGTGGGAAACACAGAACCGCTTTAGGTATTGTTGAGTCCGATCCCAACATCCATAAGCCAGCGCTGCTCAGGGCTTCGGGTTAAGGTTTAAGGCGTTTGAGGTTTGGAGGGCGCTTCAGGTTCAGGGTGGCAGTCATCACCCCCCCCCCCCCCCCCCCCCCCGCTGCAACCCACGGGAGCCTCGCAGGACCCGGGATGATCGTCATGATCCTCCCGGCAGTCAGGTGTAAGACGCAAAGCCTACCGGGGGGAGGGGGGTTGATCTTTACGTCTCTATTTGTATGAATGGAATACCAAGATACCAAGATAGGCTCACAACCCATACCCCAACCAAGAAAAAGGAATACCAAGGCCACATATGCCATAGACCCCAAGCGGCAACGACGACGACGACGACGGCGACGGCGACGGCGATGGCGACGGCGACGGCGACGACGACGACGACGGCGGCAAGCTAGAATCCTAAACCCAGAGCCTGGCTCAAGACTCCCCAAAATTCAAAAGGGCCCCTTGTTAGGGGACCCTAAGTGGAAAGAACCTGCCTCGGGGAGGCTGCCTCTGGTAAGGAGCTCGTATGGAGCAGACCCTGGCCTTGGCAAAAGTTTTTTGACGTTGTTTGTGCAGGCCTTTCAGGGCTTTAGGGTCTAGAAGCTTTTGCGGGTTGAGGCTTGAGGTCTTTGAGCACATAGTAAGGCTTAGAGGTCTCAGGGATGTAAGGGCTGAGCGAGAAGAAGTTCAGGGCTCGTAGTTTAGGGACTTCACGGTTAAGGGTTGTAGGGTTCCATTGCGACCGACTGCACACCTCACATGCTTTGGGAAGGCAGCATCGTCGCAACAGGCCGCAATACCCTTGTTCTCTGGGCCCAAACGTCATCCCGTGGGAACAACAGCAATCAAGTGCCACCTGGTGGGGCACGAGATTCAGAAACTAGAGTGAGGGAGAGAGACAATGAAGAGCTTTGGAAGTTCTCCGGGCAGCTCGGCGTTGATAAGCACAAAGGTGGAAAACAAAGACTAAAGCACTAAAGGGGACTCACGCAACGGTAGAGGGCGAAAATGACATAATTTCATGCAGAGAGTTCTGATGCATGCTAACCCCTTCCCCCCCCACCCACCCCCCACCCCCCGCAAAAACAAAAGAAAAACAAGCCCTCTGGCTCCGATGGCTGGGACTTCCACCGAAAGTTAAAGTCGCCAGCGAGAATGAGGGGGAGGTCTTCGGCGAACCTGATGGTAACATAAGGGGCGGTCAGGGGGCGTCGGGACGTTCTACTCTCAATGGGGAACATGGCACCATGTAGGGAATCAAGGCGGGATCCAGGTTTTCTGAGCCTGAGGGTCCACAAAAGCATCTTCTACAGAGTTTGGGGGGCCAAGTTTAGGGCAGAGTGTAGGGGCCCAATGAACCGGGACGAAAGTAAACTCAAGATTACATGCCCTGAGCCACGGGACGCCAAAGCACACTGCGCGGCCAATGCGGCGTGTATGACCATCACCTGGCTGTAAAGCTGCCATGGCCCAAAGCAGAGGACGAGTTCGCCGTCCATAGCTCATTAAGGATAAGCCCTTAAACACTCTAGGCCCTAAGCACTTAGACCCTGAACCCTTCAACCCATCTTGAACCCTGAGCCCTCCCTGAATACTGAGCCCTGAAAACCTCAGGTTCTCCACGCGCAACCCGTGACCCGGGTCGTTTAGCCGTTCCAGCCTTCATTTCGCGGAACATGCAGGGCATGTGATAGGTCGAGACCTCCAAGCGACTGCCAGCAAAAACTCGCTCTGGATTTTGGGCTTAGTCAGGTTTAAGGATCTGGGACACAAAGGTTCAGGGCCTGGAGATTTGGGTTTCTGTGAAGTTAAGAAAGCTCATGAAGATTGCAAAGCCGCCCAAGGCTGAACTCTCGAAAGTTGGCAGAAGAGGTGAACACCCGTAACTCTACATCCCCGCCCCCCCCCCCACCCCACTCGTCCCATTCGTCTAAAACGCCCGAAGGGTGGCCAGGGTGCCGGCCACGAAATCTCTGTCCCCGTAAGAGTTGCCCCGCGGCCTGCTATGAGGATTGAGGGACAACAGGGGCGTTTAGGGGCTTGCTACCGGGTTGAGCGTGGGAATGGATGTCAGGAGGGTTTTTGTAACTTCGAAACTGTGGTTCAGGACTTTTCGGACTTCTAGGATGTCTAGGCTTTTAGAACTTTAAGGTACTCCGATTCATTGATGCCAAAGTGAGGCTTAGGCCCTAATGCAGGCTTTCCATGAAGAAATGTGAGAGGGCGGCTAGCTACAAAACCAGTTTTTCGGCGAGGCGGGACGTGTTGCAACAAGGCTTCTCGGCGAGGTGGCTTTCCCCAAATCCCGTCTCGACACTTCGCAATCTCCAAGTGAAAGGAGGCCGGCTTATTTTCTCCTCTGGCACGTACGTGTCAGGAAGGAACAACCGAGTTGTAGTGTTCACCGAGGGCATAGTAGTGGCCTGAGCTAGGGCACTGGAGGCTCCAGGACTGCCCATGCTTCAAGACAATCGACTATGGGCTGCCATGACGAAACCGTGAACATCTCCAAACGCTGCATCGTTTACAAAGACTCAGAGCAAGCAACCTATCCTTGAGTAGGGGCTGACGAGTCTACCGCAAAGGCAAGTGCCTTGCACGCTTGGCCACTAGAGCAAAAAAGATAACTACCTGCTCCAAATACTTCTGTTCTCGGGCTCTAGCTTCTAAGTAGCTTGAATAACCAAATCCCTTGTTGAAATGGACCCTTAAAAAGCGATATATGATCCCAACTTAGAACAAACCCCCAACTAAACTCCGGGCGGCGGTGGAAGCTCACCCGCAGTGGCCCCGCCGGCGGGCTGTCGCCGAGGACCAGAGGCTTGTCGGCGCCAGCCTGCGCCAAAAGAAAGAAGAGGCTTGGGTTTCAAGGAGCTCGGGCGGCATCGCTCTGCACTGTGTTTATGTGTTTATGTGTTCAAGGCTCATGGATCATGGATTCCATGCGTGTGGCCGACTTGGTCTCTATTCACTCAGCACGTTAGCTGACGGCGACCCTTTTGGAGGGAACCCGCCTGGAAGACGTGAATGCGGACCTGGACAGCCAAGCAACTTTGAAGGGCAGCCTATTTGGCGTTTGGTGAAATGCAACGTAGGGCCAAAGTGGGACTGCCGGTGTGGCATGGCTCTGGGGCAAAACCTAGTCAAACCCTATAGACTACGTCCCCCACAGCCCCTTGCAAAAACAATGCACTAAATCCAACACCCCCACAAAAGCCCTCAAAACAGAAAGTTGGTACAAAAACCGGATGACTCCCCTAAGCCCTGAACCCCAAAAAGTGTGGGCCTTCAGCTTGTCTGCCAGGGCCCGGAGCTCGAGTTCGCCTTGCCACCGCGGCCACGCACAATCTTTGGGTCTTTTCGAGTTCCGTAGGTTAGGAGAGGTCCATGGCAGAATGGAGAGAACAGTCACGACAGTCACCTTCGATGAAGTTCTGATCGTCAGAACTTAAAGGGATGCAGGCCGCAGCGGCAAGGCAAATAAACAAGACGCTTGGTAGGCGCACCGTTTAAGACTCCATGATTTGAGACATCAACCTGGAATTGCGATGCCGACCCTAGCAACCCACAGAAGGAATCCGAGCCATCAGGAACCCTGCACACCAGACTTACCCTGAGCCCCACACCCTACGATCCCTCACCCTCAGCCCGGGCCCTGCCCACCACTGTCCCGCCCCCCACCACAAAGAAGGCTTCCGTTGGGCGCAATCTTGGGCGCACGCCTCCCCAGTCGGCGGAGCTCTCCACTCGGTGGCAGTAGCCGTCGAAATCTTCGCCCTCCTCTTCGGACTGTTGGGATCGTCCTATAAACTGCATACCCACCGCATGAGGTCCGTCTCTACAAGCAACCCAGGCCAGAATCCGTGTATGATCTGGACCGAAGTCCAACGGAAGCTGCTACCGCCGCCCCGAGCCTTGAGCTCGGCGAAGGGCGCGTAGCCATCCACGTGGCCTCGCAGAGAGGCGGCGCAGAGCTTGCGGACCTGACAGAGTGTCACAGGGCCGTCGGGGCTACGGTCAGATTGTTGTGGGCCAGAAGCCAGATGTTGGCGATTCTGTATGCCCATCTTAAACTACCAGTTTTAAACCCTATTCAGTTCCGTAGATCCTTCCAACCCGTACGCCTCCTTGTACATCTGGTCCGGAGGCCCACTGAAGTCATGCAGGTCGGGCCGGAACCGATGCCTGCATGTGCTCTGAAGGAGTTAGAAGGGTTAGGAGTTTGATGCCAAGGAAAGATTGGGGCTCAGGAGGAAGCACAGGCTCCTCTAACTCGGAGAGGAAAGAAGAGAATAGACCTCCTTGCATCCCAGTCACAGCTGGTCTGCCACCGAGCGGTAGAGGCAATGTCCTGCAGCTCGAAGAGTCGAAGTGTAGGCACAGCTCAAGCTTCATCCTAGTCCTAGACTTCCTTAACATCCAACATGCCGAGATAGAACCCCCCCCAACCCCCCAACTCCGAACTGCTCCCTTGATAATGCATTCTTCCAGCAGACAACAGCAGCCGCAAGCGTACAGCGCATGCGAAGACTGTCATCCTAAATCTTGAGCTCAAGATAAGGGCTGAATGCCCTGGAGAACCATTGAACCCTAAACCGTCCGTCGGAAGGGATCTCATGAATCTTCATAGCCGGCTTCCTGGGCTATTTGAAAGGTGAGAATCTTACTCAGGCCTCAGTAACTGCCGCCGAATACATGATAGCCCGCCCATCGAAAACTAGATAAACCATACACGGCAACATACTAGACTTAGAATGACTCATGAGAATATTTACACACAAGGGGCTGAGAGGGGGTCAGTGGTAAGGAATTTAGGGTATAGAGAACTCGGGATGCCGACAGCTTTATTCCAGAAGTTTGGGGATTCAACTCTCTTAAACAAAGGAGCAGGCCCGTCGGCTTATTTCCTCAACCTGCCTGTCAAGCACGGCGTCGGCGAACATCGAATCAGGTGCATCAAATCGCTTTGAGGCGCTCTTCTGACCAACCAACCAACCTCCGCGCGCCTTCCCATCTGTTCAAAAGGCTCCTACCAACCAAGACAGCGCAATGTCCCTGGAGTGGCCCTTGTTCAAGGCTTGCTCCAACGCACAGCATGCAGTCACTAGATTCACACATGCATCACATGACAAGACAAGAGACTTTAGCCGGGCAAACGGTTTAGTGAATTGTTAGGGTTTCGGGGCTGAGGATGCGATGGGCTTCGGAACAACATGTTAAGCCAGACCCCTCCAAAAACCAAGATTGAAACCTTCAACACCCTTTGGAGCTTCAACTCCCAAAGCCCCCGAGGACCTCAGCCAAAGCCCTGCAACAAGAAACCCCGAACCCGCTAAACACCCCACGGAGCGGCTGCGCCGAGAGCGCTGCGGCCAGTGATTCGAGCTCCAGCTCCCGGGCAGAGGGTCCGGCCTTGAGGGCGGTTGAGGGCAGTCAACTGAGGGTTTGTGGGTTTTGCTGGAGGATGTCTAAGCCTTGCAAGGCTCGGGGCGGTTAGGATGAATTTGCTTCCGTTGGGCATGATGCTTCTCTCTCGCTTTGCTTCTTCTTTTTCGGGGTTTGGGGCGTCTTTCAGGTATTGGGATTGCGCCGACACCGCAAGGCATCACAAAACGATGTTTCTCTTAAGCTACATTCTACATGATGAATCTGAGATGCTTGCGGAGGAAGGAAGAAGTACGTGGGGTGTAGGCCCAAAAGAGTAAGGACTTGTTCAGGGAAGGAATGGGAATGCAAGGAACGCCAAGCCATCAACCTTCAGCTTGCAGCCTTCCACCATGACTCTCAGCCCCCGAAGAAATGTTTCGGGCCTCTCTTCGTTCCTTTTCCTTCTCAGCCTCCTTCTGAGCCTGTCAAGCGTGCACCGGCATGGTCAAACTCTGGCAAGGCTGCAGAGAAGGTTTGGATTCTGGTGCTCACCTGGTCAGCTCGCTAGACTGTAGTCTCTCTCTCTCTCTCTCTCTCTCTCTCTCTCTCTCTCTCTGCATACTGCATATTTAGGGGGCCAAGAAGGAACCCTAGATGAGAGAACTGGCCACGAGAGGCTTCAAGTCTGGTTTGGGGTGCGCAGTCTACTCGTCAGGGTTGCTCGCTTCAGGGGCATCCGAATTTTTTTGTGCAGTTCGCTTCCATAGAGTTGTCGAGCTGTCTTGGAGAGGCATCCTGCAGAGGTCAGGCTCGGGTCCCACCAATCCGTGGCACGCGAGCCAAACATGGGAAACTTCCTCGCAAACAACTCTAAGTGATCTTTGCTAATGCGGCGACTGCAAGCGGATTCGCACGTGAACTCAACCGCTGGTGTCCGCACGCCAAGCCTCCTTGTCGGCCCTGTTTTGGCGCTTCTTCTGCGCCTTCCTTGGGCGGACCGGCCCCTAACTTGGGTCTCGCAAACTTTGAGGAGGCTTAACCCTGAGGACGGTCTTGGGCTTGTGGGTGGCCTCCTCGGCCCAGGAGGTCGAGTAATGCAAGCCGATGCTGACAATCCAGAGCCTGGTCTAAACCTCCAAAGCTATAAGGATCCGAAACATCCGCAAAACCCTGCAAGCCCCTAAACCCGACTAAACCCCAAGACATCCCAACAAAAAGATCAACGAGTACACAGCATGATGCAGCCCGGCTGACTCCTTCTTCCTCCGGGCGCGCTCCGCCTCGTCATCTTCGGGGTTCTGCTCCTCCGGGACCTGCGGCTTCAGTCGTTTGGGGGGGGGGGGGGGGGGGGGGGGGGTATATGGCAATTCAATGGTTTAGGTTGGCGTGACGGCGATTCTCTTTGTCGCTGTGCGTGAGGGGGCTTGTGACACATAGGCACACGACCCTAAGGTGCGAAGCTGGGTCGTGTAGATGTTGCAGGAAGAAGGTTCGGGCCCCACAGCTCAGCAATTTGGGCTCAGGGCTGTCGGTTCAAGGGTTATGGATGCCCGGGTTAGGCCTTGAAGTGCTTGCATCTTGCAAACGGGGAGCAGTTCGGTTCAGGCGACGTGGGACCTGATCCAAACCATGAGGACTGTCCCATGCAGCTCGGTTCGAAGGGAACCGAGCTGCCGTCTAGACCGTGAAGCTGGGGCTCAATACCTGCAGCCTCAAACCCCTTAAAAAAACATTCCGGCAAGCAAAAGTCCATCGAAAACACTCAAAACACTTGCAAATCGTCCCAAGCTCAGCAGCCCGGGCCTCCGGCTCGGCGGCCTGAGACGCGGCCTGCGGGCATCGGTCTCCGGGGATTTCAAGGCCTTCTAGGACTGAGGAGTTGAGGGGTTTCGGGTCAGAGCTATTTTCTATGAGGGTTGGTGGCGGTTTCGGGCTTCACTGAATGGGCTGAGGGAGATGTTTGGAGGGTTTCATTGGCTTCGCTGTGGAGGAGTGGGGGAGCGAAGTTGTGGGCGGCTGGGAGTGAGCCCTTGGTAAAGGTGAGCCCGAAACCATACTTTTGTTTGAGGGTTTCATGTGCATCCTGAGAGATGCAAGATAGCCCCACATTCCTTAAAGGCTTGAAGGAAAGAAGGCAGAGAAGGAAGGAGGGGCCTCGGCCTCTTTCGGGCCTTGGAGTCGTTCCGTGAGCTCCTCGAGCTCCTCCTTCTGGCGCTCCTGGAGCTCGTACAGCCACTGCTCCACCTGCGGGGCTTTGTGAAAAAAAACGCTTCAGCGCACGTACTTCGAAGAGTGCATAGAGCTTAGGGCGTTTTTGGGGTCTAAAGGTTCGGGTTTAAGGGCTCTCAGGAAGCTACAAGAAGCTTAGGGGGCGGAGATTGGGGGGTTTCTTTGTGGCCGAACGGCAGGCCTCTCGCTCCGCCGTCTCGATGGCTTGCTTGGCCTTCTTGCCCTTACCGGCCTGGATGATGCGACCAGTTCTCCATGCGATGGTCGACTTGGGTAACAGGTTACCATCTCAGACTCCTGTTGCCAAGCAGGTATGAATACATGCTGGCATACATCTACCTGTGTTGTGAGGAGTGACAACTGTGGACTCTAATTTCAGAATGCTTGCACACAAATATGTATACATACACACATATATGCACGCACAAAGGGTGTTACTGTGGCAGGGTACCCAAGCCGGGACAATTTGCTCGGAGAGCTGACCAAAGGTGTTCAGACTGCGATGTGCCAGATCAGAAGTGTGGCTTGGGGGCTGCAGAGCCTAAGAGCTGCAGTTCCGGGACCTTTATCGCGACGTATACGGGGCACTCACTCGACTCTGTCGCTCTGTCGTTCTCTCCTCCTCTTCTTCTTCTTATTCTTCTACTTCTTCTCCTCCTCCTCTTTTTCTTCTGCTTCTTCTTCTTCTTCTTCTTCTTCTTCTTCTTGTTCTTGTTGTTGTTCTTCTTCTTGTTATTCTTCTTGTTCTTGTTGTTGTTCTTCTCCGACCTCACTCTCTTCTGCACTTCTGCAGCTACCTGGCAGCTCGGCCACCATGGCAAAAGGCGGCAGGGCAGTTTGATCTGAAGCGGTTTGTCATGTCGAAATGGCAGAGGAGCAGCGACAGCGGAGCAGCTTAGCTCTCTCTCGCTCCCTTAACATCCATTTAACTTACTTTACCCTTTGCCTCCCCTGTTATTTGAGTCATCTATCGTGCTCCAAGCTTCGGTCTCCTTCACTTTGTCCACATGTGCCTTTGCACGCTCTTCCAGCTCCGCGGTCTCCTCGCAGAGGTTGAAGATGTTGAGGCTTACCATGGCTTACCAGCATACGCTTTGAAACCCCACAACTGTCATCCAGGGAAGGGTCTTGGCCCTGAAACCTGGAGTGCTGAGCTGCTTCCCCACACCTAGAACCGCCATTCGACCCACCAACCGTCCACCCAAGCAGCCTTCTCATGCCTGGATTCAAGCCTCGGCACTTGAGGAGACGTGTGAGGGAGGATCTGAGAGGCTGGAAGCTCGCAATCTATGCAGGACTTGAAGGTTAGGGCTTGGGGTTGAAGACTGCAAGTTCGAACTTTCGTCTTCTACCTGTCTCATCATCATGCTCATGACCATGACGACGAGGATGGCGATAATTTCGACGGCGACCACAACGGAACTGAAGTGACAACACGCACTGAATACATCTGAATACCAGTTGCCTGATGTTGCCTGCAAGCTGCTCTTCCTCAGTCTGTGCAGGCGGAAGAGTCTCCTCCAGGGGCTTCGAAGAGGCCGTGATTGTCAGTGCTGCAGCCACGACTTCAGGCTTCAGGAGGTGCGCTCAGAGCTGGAATGTTGAGCTGAAATTAGGGGTCGCAATCCCGAGGTACAATCTCGGGCTTGACAGACTACATAACAGCTGACCCATGTAGCACAACTCGGCCTACAGTTTAGGATTTAGGCTGGGGCTTCAGAAGGGCTCAATGCTCTAGGGCTTCGGGGCGTTGAGGGTTTCGGACTCATTCAGCAGCTCAGCGCAAGAGCTGCTTGCTTGCACAACAACGAGACCGAAGCTGTCCAAACCCCATTCCCTAAAGCCCTGAACCCGAAACCCCAAAAGCAAGGTTCGTGACTCGGAACTCAGGCCTCATCTGCCATCGGTCGAGAAGGCGGGCGGGGAGGGTGGCGGTGGCGCCAGTGGTGGGGCTACCGCCGCCCAATGTGGGCTTTGGGTTGCTTGGTTGAGCGTTTAGGGTTCCAACGCTCAGGCTCTGGGGGCTTAGGGCCTCGGAGTTTTGGGTGGTCAGGGTTCAGGGATGCAGGGTGTTGTGCAATTAGGGTACATAAGCTACATAGGGTTGAGGCTAAAGGTGGATGCCTCGGGCTGACCGCACCTGATGCCTTGTGAAACCTTAATGCGGGCTCAGTGTTTTTGGGAGTTGGGCTTGAGAAGGGAACAGCTGTGGCAAGGCAGTCCCGATCAATCCAAAGAACCTGTCGGAGCTCAAGTGGTCAAGCGCTGATCGCATCAAACCACAGCCCCCCCCTCACAAGACCCAATCTGGAAGCTGCAGCTGCACGAGCCCCCGCCCCGCCCCCGGTTCCGGCCTAAGTCGGACCGAGATCATTCGATTCCTGCCTCATTCCACAGCAGGGATTTAGCGTGGCTGTGGTAGGATGTTAAGTAGTAAAGGTCTGGGAGCAGTCTCGAACCTAACTAGGCTACTAAATCCTGAAATGCTTCTAAACGGAAATCCTGGGAGGTTGAATGTGAGCTGGGCATCTCATCTGCGTCTGATCCCGACACACCCGTCAACCATCAAGACAGCCTTTGACCCTTTGACCGACATCCGACGCCTCAGCTCCAGCACACCGAAGTCTCCAGCGTCTCCAACTCCAACCCTACAACTTCCTTTGCAAGATACACACACAGAGACAAACCCTACCACCCTCTCTGCAACACTCCCGATGCTCGGGGAGAAGCGCGAGCGACTGCTGACCCACGGTGACGGCCTATGCCCCTCTCCCTGGCGCTTCGAGGTGTTTTTCGTTTGCAGCTCAAGGCCGAGCATGGGGCTTTAAACAATGAATATGTTGAGGGTTTGGCTTGGGGATTGCAACAATCGGAGTCGTGGCGGCGTTAACCTTTGCTCTTAGAGCCGGATGGTTCCCTGCTCCACCCCCAAGCCCCCTGATCCACACCTCTCGCATCTCTTCTGCGGCACAGACTGTGTCTGTGTATCAATAAGCATGCTGCATGCTCGCATAAAGCTGATGTAAAAAGCGTAAGTCAAGCCGCGCAGCCCTCAACCCAACAACAAGAGCCCGTAATTGCCCCCCGACACCTGAAACCCAAATCCTCAACTGCCAGGGCCTCACCCGAAGAGTGATGGTGAGGCAAAGCCTCGCCAACGGCCACTTCATGTTCAGCTGCGGCTTAGGGCGTCCAGAGTTTTGGGCCATCCTCTCCGGAACCCTAATTAGCCTAAGCCCTACTCCCTGAACCCTTCCACATTTTTGAAACCCTTGATGGTTTCCAGAGCCGTCTTTGCATCCTGGGAGATTGGATGGGATTAGCGGAATGTCTTGTATGCTTGTTGCGGTGCTTTAGAGAGCGCACACGCTTTTCCAAACACCTTTCCCATGAAAGATGGCAATGCTGAGCTATTTCCCTTTCTCCATCACCTCCCTTGAACAGACAGCCTTACGCCGCAACACCCCAATCCCTACACGCAATATCTTTGAAACTTCTGGCGTCCATAGGTGTCCAGACAGTGATAATCGGTGAATGTCAGGTATGTGCAGGTCTTGCTGCAGCCCAGGGCTCACGTGGACGCATGAATCTGCGGTATGCCAGCCAAGATGCTGCACCATGACTACATTGTGCCCCAGTCGTTTGGTGGCATTTCACTCGGGAAGTCTCAAGGGGCCACAAGGGGAAGAGAGAATCTCTTGCATTTCGAGCTTTGAAGGCCTCGGCAACCCGCTTGATGGACGCAGCCTCCAGCTTGAACAGCCTGCAGAGAGCTAGTGACAAGCGGCTACGGAGTCTGGCTTAGGGTGGATGCTTCACTGAAGCCCGACGACTCGAAACCTTAATGACTCGACGTCAAGGCCAAACAGGTCAGGGCAACGCGATTTGGCAATGTGGGCTGGTTTTTGGGGGCTTGTGTTGTGACAAGGCTGCACTCCGAGCTGCGCACTGCAAGGTATGTTGTGAATGAGACAGAATCTGCTGAAACCTCCTCAAAACAATTTCACACGCCGGGCTAGCGCAAACCATGGCAAGCGTCTGCAGAGGTTGGTCGCTCGGCGCCGGCCCAAACACTTCAACCTGCACCAAGCCTCTGCTCCTGACAAACGCAGGGCAGCCTCATGGAAAACGCCACAGCAACCCCCATGTAGCCGTCATCCTCACGTCCTGCGCGTGGCAATACAACGCGCAGGCAAGGCTCAAACTTCAGGCCTTCGATCTTCTGGGGGGCTGTTACGCTGTGATGTCGGCAGCAAGCAAACCTTCCACCAGGGTAGGGTTTGAGGTGATACCCTGACCGGTCCATAGTTGCTGTGCACGAGGTGGTAGTCGCCTCAGCAACGTCAGCCACGCGGATGTCTGCAGGGCTTCACGGGTCGAATGCGACCCTGAGGAGTTCAGGCTGTACGGCTTTCGAGGTTGACGCAGAAGAGCTTTGAGGGCGCACAGGGCTGAACCTAAACCCTAAGCCGAGCTCTTGAGAACTCGAAAAAAGGCAACCAAGCAGCCCCCCGCAGGACTGGGTCTTCGGGATGAAGGAAACACTTATTTGAAATACACATGCAAACACCGGTGAAAGTCATCTGTGCGTACCACATCCGCATCCTGAGGAAAGGGGAGAACATCGCATCTGGACTTTTGTGTCTGGAATGATGATCTAAAGGAACCTACGCCAACCCCTACGCTTTGGGAACTATTTGATTCCTGAGCCCTGAAACCCAAGCCTGAATCAAGAAACCTAAGCCTTTAACATCTAAAGATGAAAAAACCTCGAGCTCCAGGCTCTCGAGGAAGAATGCATGGAGCCGCGCGCACCAGTCCTGTGAGACCTCCTGCCATGAATAACGTACAAGCCCCTAAGCCCGCTGAAGGATGAAGTTTGGAGCTGGGAATGTAATTGAGACTGTAGCCCGGCAGGCACGTTCCAACCGCCGCATGAAGCCCCAACCCAAGCAAATCCCAAAGCCCAAACTCAGTGTCAGAAACCTGGCACAAAGTCCAAAAGGCACCTGGTATTCGTCGATGCGCAGGACTTATATAGGTCTCTTCTTGGCAGTTCGCAGGGTCAAGGTTTGGAGTTTGTTGGAGTGTGGGGTGCCTCGGAGCGGCTTTTCTTTCGGTACCCTCGTCAGGGTCAATAGCAGACCAAGCTTAGGGTCCTTCTGATGAACGTGATGGTCCCTCTTCCTTTGGAGGAACTCCCAAATGCTTTGGTGAGACAATCTCCTTTTCGAGTTCTGCTACGTGTTTCTCTGGCAGTGAGAACATGATAGAACAGCAATGCTTTAGACTAAGTCCGATGTTGAGTTAAAGCGATAGCCTGGCAACTACAACCCTGGGTTTATGTACGTAAGAGGCTGGTACCCAGGCCAGAAGTCTGGATCTGGATCTACCATACGTCGCCGATGATAGTATGCCATGTGGTTTCCAAGCACTCTCCGCATTTTGATGGGATTCCTCCCTTCAAAGTTCAGGGCCTTGTGCAATAAGGAGCGCGGTGACGGGATTTGCACATCAGGAGAAACTCTTGTAGTGTGTGGGTCTGGTGCATGCTCCAAAGAGTCCAAACTCTGCTGAGCCAGCTTTCGCCTGTGTGGCCAGCCAAATTCAGATTGTTCCTTCAAGCAAGTGCGCGTCCGCTGGGCCTTCGGGAAGTACTTGCACAGCAGCTGAATGCCCATTGACGCGACAGAGTCGTTGCGGTCTTCGGCCATGACTGCGAAGGTCTTCAAGAGGGCTTCTCGGTCCGAAACATCCCAGGCTGACTGTGCCTCAACTAGGAACGCAGTCTCCTTCTCGGGGGTAAAGCCCTTTGTGATGACTTGCGAAACCAACTTTTGGAAACCACGCGCCACCGCGGCTGCCCCTGTCTCCAGTTGCGGCTGCATCCAAGCCGCTTCGGACCTTCCTTGCTGCGCAGCCAGCATGACCAGGGTGCACAGCTCAAAGACAGATGCAGACTTGGTCGTGGCAGGTATCTCAGCAGCCTTGCGAGCCCAGCCACCTTCTTGTTCAAGCCAAGTACTCTGGACTTTTTCAAACTCAACGCCGGCGTAGACTTGACGGACACCGTACACCCGGTGCTTGCTGGAGTCGGGTCTTGTGACCCAGCGGCTGTAGAACTTCAAAGGGCTGAGGCGTTGCAGACGAGCGTCCAGCTTCGCAAACTCCAGGATACATGTGTCTTGGTTATGCACCTTGCCGACTGCAAGCAGGACGGCCTGTCCAAACAGCGACGGTTCGATCTCCTCGGACTCTTCTGGCAATGCCCCCACTCCATCAACCGACGAAAAGGTGTAGGTGGTCATGTTCTGCTCACACCAGTCTGGAAGCTCCTGCCCTTCACCCACAGTAACAGTCACCATGCCAGCAGCGTCTGTGATCTCCTGATCATCCCGGATCTCTTCTGTGCCCACTATCAAGGTGAGCCTGTGAGGTGTGAGACGCAGCTCCTGGCCCACGCGACTTTTCAACTCGGCCCCATGCCCCTGGAAATCTTGACTCTCAAAGGCCACACGACCACTTGGAAGAGTCACTGTCACCGCTGGCATCCCGATCGGATTGGCGATGGCTGCCAAGTCTGCTACTCCAAACCAAGCTCATCCTCAAGCCAAGGCTGGGCAACTCTGCGTCATCTGCCGGCACCCCACCTCTAATAGCTCTAATCCCGCTAATCCCCCCACCTCCTTAGCCGACCGGCATCTGGGAGCAGACGGCGCCCACAGGGACATCCAACACCCTCACCGCCACCGCTCTCCCCGGACTATCATGATTACAAGTAGGGGTCCCGCAATTTTCTGACCGCAAGAAGAGGACCCAAAATTCCCGGAGCTTTCGTACCGCAAGAAGGTGAACCAAAATTCCCGGAATCTTGGTGCCGCAAAATTTTCGCCAAAAAAATCTGGGACTGGTTGTTAAGCTTAGGTTTTGGCTTTAGGCTTCCTAGGCTTTAGGCTTTAGGCTGTAGGCTGTAAGCTGTTGGCTGTAGGCTGTAGGCTGTAGGCTGTGGGCTTGAGGCATAGTTTAGGGTGAGAAGTTTTGGGCGTGAGATGGTTTGAGACCTTCCTTCAACACTTAAACCCCAGCCCTGGGCCAGACCCAAACCCTGAACACTGAATACTACGAAACCCCAAGCCCCATGCCATGGAGCCTGTTGTGCCAACCTTACCTCGCCGCTGCAGCAACCAGGCCCAGGCCGAGGCGGGGTCGCATCGCGTTAAAGCACGGCTCCTGGAGGCACAAAATGGCATTGTCCTCCATCTTCTCTGAAAGCTTCGCCAGCACCTCAGCTAAGAGAGGGAGGCGATGGTTGCAGGGATGGTAAACGCCACACACCCCCCAACACACAAAGAACTTCAACAACAGCATGTGTTCGTGCTAGTTCTCGGAGGCTCGCTCATTTCCGAAGAGGGTGGGGCGTGGGGGGAGCGGCTCTTTTCACATCTTTACCTGTCCCGTCTTCCATCGTTTCTTCCTTGTCTTCTCTTCTCCTCTCTGGGGAGTCTCGACAAGAGAGGCGATGGAATAGAAGGACAGGAGGTGGGGCGAGGAGAAGAGCCAAAAGTAAGCAAGCGAGACACAAGATAGACGACACACTGTTTTTTTCCGTTTCACAGGGCCCATCCTCGGCTCAGGTGGCAGCGACCCTATCGTTTCGACACAAACATTAGGAAGAGATGGACAGCAGGGATGATTCTCATTTCCGGCTAAGATGAGGGGCTTTTGTTCCTTCTTAACCGGCCTTCTCACATTTCTTTAGGCAGAAAAGGACATTCTTATTGTTAAGACAAAAATCATCTGAAGATGAGGCGTCTCTTAAGAGCAAGAATGTAAGAATAAGTTGGTTTGTTTGTCAAAATACAGAAGGGTCTGTTGTTTCTGGGTAAGAATGGCAAAAGGAAGGGCAACTTTTTCCTAATGTATTGAGCTCTGTCAGAAAAAAAGACCTCACATTTTCATGAAGAGCCCATGTCACATAGGCACCATAGGCCCTGGCGTCCTACACTTTCGAACTCTCAGGGCTTGCTCGACTGAGCCCGAAGCTTTTTCCCAGCGAGTTGCATTGTCCAAGTCCTGGCAGGATGCCAAGAGAGGTCTGGCCTTTTCTCCGCCCTCAGGTCCCCAACTCAGGTAAACCCTGGCACAGCAGGAGCCGCATGCCACTAAGACCGAAGCCTAAAACCCAAAACCCTAAAGCCTTGAAAGCCCATAAGAACCGTAAGAACCCTAAGAACCCTAGAGCCCCAAAAGGCTGACGGATAAACAGCCCTAAACCGCGAAAACCCAAAAGGCCCGAAAGCCGCCGCCTGCAGGCGGGAATGTTGGAAGACCACGTCCGTACACAACTCGGGGCAGAGGACATTCCAGGAAACCACGGTCACCTGTCTATGGGCCCTTTTGAACGTTTAACTTCGAGCCTTTCAAAGTTTAGGCCATGGAGTTTCATCGGGATTCGGGGGCTTGGATGGTGCCTTGTGAAAGGTCACGGTCTCACTCAAATTCCGCCGGCGAGGCGCTGCAAGATGCAGACCGTCAACACACACACACAGAACTTGCGCTGGAAACCGTAGCAGCATGGCTGGACACCGTCAATTACAAGCTATTCGCAACCTTGCGAGTTGCGACAATGCCTCACAAGATTTCAAGGGGGCTTAGAAGTTTATTGGGCCATGCACTTGCACACCTCCCAAACTCAACACCTGAAGAGTGCAACCCTCAGCTAAGACATGCTAAGACCCAAAGCCCTCGGCAGCAAGCCAAAAGCCCCAAGCCCCAGCACGAAAGCAGACGTCACCCACGATATAACACAAAACCCACGAATGGAATTCTTCACCCTATACTCAAACGCAGAACCCTAAACCCCAATCCCAGGATCGAAAACTAAAACCGCCAAACCCGGAGCAAACCTCGGGTGCAGCAGCCCCTGCCAGCAGAGTGTCTGCGAGGGTTTTGAGGCTTTTCCGTTGGGACTTCGGGTGTTCCGGCACGGGCCTTTGGCCAACTTTGTAAAGCTTTAGGGAACGTGAAGGGGTCAAGGGGTGGCGGTTGTTTGGGTCGGAAGTTCTTCGCAGGGGAGCAACTTGGGCTATGACTTTGGGATTCTGGCAAGAGTAGCATGGGACTACAAGGCCTCACGGGAGAGGGAGAGGAGGGAGAGTGGGAGGAAGCATCGCGCAATGAGGCACCGGGAAAGCACACAGCCTCCGCCTGAAGCCGCAAGTCCCAAAGCTTAAGCAAACCAAAGGCCACAAACAACAAGGCTTTCTCTGGAGCAAAACCAGACCGCCCTAGACCGTAGACCTGCCTCGTCTGCCTCTGCTTCGCGGAGGCGAAGAGCCGGAACTTCGATTTGAAACTGCGGAAAGCTGCACCTCCACAAAACGGCCGATCCCCCTGTAACCCTGCTTGGAGGTTCATGGATAGCTAGAAGTGCACTCGTAAACTTACTTTCAATGAGCCAAGACCTCAAAACACTGTCTCACATGTTCTGGGCCTTGGCGGCCTTGGAGGGAACCTCCCGGAAGCCCTGAAGCTCTGAAGCCCCGAGCCGCACTTGCTCTCTCGCTAGCCCCAACTGAAAGCCACCCAACCGCTCAGAATCCTTCTGTACCTGAACCCAAAAACCCTGAAAACCTAAACTACAAACCAAAGACCCCCCAAGTGGGCATCAAAGCGGTTGCGAAACTCAGGGCCCCGGCATTTGTGCTTGGAAAATTGCCTGCCAGGCAGTTCACATCTCGGGCTTGGGCGTCGGGGTCAGTTCTGGAAATAAGGCCTTTTGTGGTGCTTGCACGGCTTCGGGCTTTTTGGTTAAGGTTTCGGGGTTGCACACCTTAGGGGGCAGCAGGATTTACTGTAAGTTTCAGAGAAGATGTCGATCGTTGAACATATTCAGGCTGTTTGAGTTGCGGTTTCAAAGTCTTGCTCAAACTCGCAAAGTTGTAAAACCCTAAACCCTTAGGGCCTCGGAACTTCCAGTCATGATTTAGGCTTGCCGGTTATAGGGTCCAGGGCTTGAAGAAGCCAATCTTGTAGAAAACATGATCAAACTTGAACTGCGACACTGAGACTCTCGCAAATGAGCATCTACTTGGTAGGTCTGGGCACAACCGGAACCTCGAGCAACGAGTGGGCCCGAGATCGCTCTTATGAGCCTATGCATGACCCGGCACGCCGTACCTTGGCTCCGCCGCACCATCACGGAAGTTTCGACGGAACAACCCTGGCGACAGCCGCGGCGTGGGCTTCAAGGCTCCAGCTTCAGGCTTCACACGAAAAATTCAGGGGCCAGCGCGGATTTGAGGTGTACTGAGCGGTGAAGACACTGGGCCGCCCAACCGTCACAAGGCTTCCGCGCCCCAGGCGCCGCTTCGCGAAAATCAGCCTGTGCATGGGGCATTTAGGGGCCAGGGTTCCTGTAGATGAGCCAGAAGTTGCTGTTTATGATGGTTAGCCCGCAATTTACAGATGCTTCCAGTGCAGAGCCTACGAGGTTGAGCACCGATAGTCATGCAGCTTACTTGGAGCTACCCTCAGAAGCTTACACCCGAGCACCCTCCTGAGTCAAGCAAGGGTTGAGGTCGTAAAGCTACGGTCTAGGGTTCAGTCTCCCCATCTGACGCCTATGCAAAGTCGCCGTCAGCACAGCATGCCGGAGGCCTCGCAGCCGAGCAGGGAATGTCCAGCGTTGCTCATCAAACGGTGTGTCAACCCTAAAGGGCCGGGTTCTCCCGTGCACACTTCGGAGGTCGCTTTTGGACATCTGGGCTCCCTGAATGCCAAACAGATGACATCCGTAGCTCCATGGCTCCAAAGTCGACTTTTGTCATAGAGATGGACGCCTTTGAAGGCTCTGTGGGGGTTCTCTCGGGGCGTGCACTTGGTCTTTTTTCGCGGGAAGCTCTTGAAATGGTCGTTGTAGCCTTGGAGTGGTCTTGAGTGCTCCTACACTGGGCTTGGAGTGCTTTGTGGGGTCATCTTGGTTCTCTCTTGGAGTGGCCTTGGAGGGTCTGTTTGGGGTCTACGCTGGCATACTGTTTGGATTTCGGGGCATTTAATCTTTGCGGCGGGGTGATGGTTTAGGGATTCAGGGCTGCCATTTACTTAAGCTAAGGACCACGGACTGTGAAAGAGATGTCAGTTGGTGTGAACTTGCAGTGAGCTCGGCCAACACTCGGGAGCAGCCTATCGCATGAAGTCTTTACTTGCCGCATGCAACCTTTAACCTTGGCAGAGATTGTCCATGCTGTCGAGGTCGCATGTCCGTAATCAAATCAGACCCAAGCCCGCCTGCAAGGAAGCCATGTCAAGCAGTGTTTTCGCGACGCGTACAAGCATTCAAGCGCCTAAGACCTAAGCCCTCAGCCACACCACCAAGAGTGCCAGGGTTGATCGGAAACCCACGGCAAACTGAGCCAAGCGCTCCGGCACAGCCATTTTGGACAAATCGCCGATCCCGAAGCGAGCGAGGACCCGCAAACCTAAACCCCTAAACCCAAGCAACCCATAGCGACATAGGCTTTAGAGGTTTCAGGGGGAATTACAGCAGAGGCTTCGAGGACCAAAACTCGCTCCAGAACGAATGGGATGGCAAACTGCGCACTCCCATTTGTCTCATGGAGGAAGGTGCCCTCGCGGCACCTTCCGTCTTAAAGGGCAGAGGCACTTAGGGTTTAGAGTGTTCAAAAATGAATCATTTTTTCAGGCGTTTTTGGGTTTCTTGAGGCTTCAGAGATGTCGGTGTCCAGCAGTGCCATTGCTCACACCTATGAATCAATTCGTCTCCAGGAGCAGGCACATCTCCTTTGGAGCGATGGCCCCAAAAGCTCAAGGGCTCCAATATCTAGACTTCAGGAGTTCAGGGCTTGGGTTAAAGGGCTTAAGGCCTGAAGCCTCCCCGCAACCATCAACCCTGTAAGGCTGATGGGGGCATTAGAATCTTTAGCGCGTGCAGGGCTTATAGGGCTTCTGCGCCGATTCTGGGCTGTTCAGGCTTTAGACGGCCTATAGACTTCTAGGATGTACAGGGCTTTTATGGTTTCAGGGCTTCCCAGCCCTGGGGTCCAGAAAACCTCACAGGTTCTGTTGAAGGTTTGGGGCGTGAGTTGTGTGTTTTGGCTCACGGGTCACCTCAACCTTGGTCGAGTTTGGGGCATCAAGGGCTTAGGGCCCTTTGGAGGTTTAGGCTGCCTTCGGCCAAGGTGCGAGGTCGGTCAGGAGCACCAGGTAGATGATGAAGAGCCGCCCTGGACTGAAATCTGCAGGAAAGCAAAAGACAAGGTCTTCCGGCTTAGGGTCTAGCTCTTACAAGGTTTAGGGTTGAGCGTTGAGAGACCCAAGGACTGAAGGACCTCCAGGCCAACTGCGCAAGCAAAGCTCTCGGCTTCGGCTGCAGGGCTTCAGACCCTAGCAACCTAAACCCCGGACCCTGACCTCTGCAGCTTTCAAGCAAAACCTTCCGAACCGACACCCCCGGCCCTGGCCATGTTCAGGGCACACTCTGGATTCCCTTGGAAGCCTGGAAAAAACACAGTCGTGAAAAGCAGAATCCAATCCACACGTAGGACCTAGCCGAGCTTCGGAGCAGGATGTTCCGCCGCAGCTCAGATGGGGGACCACCCCCGACCAGCTGGCCTCGGTTCAGGATGCCGGGTATTGCGTTGAAGGAGTCCCTAAACGCCCAGTTCGCATGACTGTACGGGTAGGGTGTTGATAAGTGAAGGAGAGTCGTTCGGGGAGATCGGCCACAGATGGGTCAGAACATGGGGGACGTGCCTCCTCCAGACGCCTTCAAGCGTGAGGTAATCACCTCGGCTTTGGCAGTTCTCACTTCAGGGCTGCTGACTCCTCGTGCGAATTTAGGGCCTTGGGCGTGCCAAAGAAAAGCGCCCCCATACAGAGGAAGCCGGGGTCAAATCCCCTACCACACGATTACAGTTTAGGGTTTAGAGGGTTTTGCGTTTACGGTTCAGCGCACTGCAAGCTTCTCACATGATGGAAGGCATCGCGCGCCTTTTTCATGCATAACCCTGCTTGCCTCTCAACTTCATCTGCCGAACGCTCAGGTAGGCTCGGCAGGCTTGGGGAGTGGGGGACCGGCAACAGCCAAGAGATTTTGTAGCGAGTTCAGGGACAGCTTCGTCCGAAGTTCTACATGCAGATCGATTTGAAGGTCAGGTCGCCATGCACAGCAGCGCAATGGCTCGGAAGTAGATCCCAAGCCTTGGCTTCAAGCAGATCCAGTGCGACCTGTCAGACCTCGAGGTTGAAGCACGCGCCTCTCCCCGCCGACATCTCCCGACATATCTCGTGCACAGGGGCAGGAGGAGCTGCGTGAGGTCGCAGACGAAACCATTGGGCGGCCGGAAGCCGGGGCAGTCTGAGTCGCCTCCCGGGCCATCCGAAGCTTGAGGGAACCACTTTGTGGTGGTTTGCAAGGCCTTGACATTAGTTCCACTCAGAATTCCTGCAGTGTGGGGCATCTTCAGGTGCAGATGGGATGAGCCGTTCTGGACGCCCCCAATCCTTAAACGCACTGGCTGGTTCAGGGGTTTTCGGGGTCCCTGGGGCTTTTGCGCTCACATTGCACCAGGTGTACTCGAGCCAAAAACCCTGAAGGCCCTTCATAAGCAATCAAGAACCCGATGAATATCGTCCCTAAGCCCTAAACTGCTTGAAGGAACCCTTTCGGCTTGCCCCCGACTCAACAAGCCTTCCGGACAGGGTGCACCCTCCCAGTTCCATCGCGTGGAGTTGTCACAGTTCCAGCCTGCCACAACCCTAGGACCCCTTATGTCCGAAGCTCTGCAGAGGAGGGGTCGCTAGAGGGGTTACGAACTTGAGGGGGTTTTAGGGTCCAGTGAGGGCTGTTTTGACGGTGTGATTAGAAGAGGCTCAGAAGAGTTTGGTTTTGGGGTTTCGCGGGCTTCGCGCGCCTGTCTTGAAGATCCACTCCAAGGGCATGCCGCGCTCGTCTAGCATGGACTGTGCCGACAGGCGCACCTCAGAGCAAGATCCAACACCCCTCAGAGTCTTCAGACGCTTCAGGGACACGCTGGGCTCCCGCACCATAGGGTTGGCGAAGCTGGAGGTCTTCTGCAGCATGTGGTCATGCATCAAGAAGCCTGGGTTCAGGGACTTGGGCTGCTTGGGGCTCCAGCTGCTGGAAGGCGTAGAAACTGCGGGGTTTGAGCTCTGGGGATTTGGGGTGGTGGTTTAAAAGGCTACAGTTGCCTGCGATTTCCATCTCTGCCACCGAGCATCCGTAGGCCCATCTCATGGGCGACAGCGCCATCACGATAGATCCGATGCCGAAGGGCATGGCTGTCAGCGCACCTTGCTACTCCAGCTTCGGTCTAGCAGGGGCTCCACAGCAAACTCAAGTCGAACCCAACTGCTGAGAAGCCTGACAGGTCATGCACATTTCGACCAGAGCACTGAACGACGGATTGAACCCGGCCAGCAAGAAGGACAGAAACGCCATGACAACCTCAGCGTCATGAAAACAAACCGTTAACACACCCATGCGATCCAAGCAGGATGTGCCGTTTCGCGCTTTGGGCTAGGGGTCTGAATGCCCAGTGCTAGAAGGGGGTTGCTTTGGTTGGCACTTCGGGTGCTCACTTCAGAACCCGTCTCCAAACTCCACGACAGCCTCAAGTTCCACTTACGCTACATATCAACCGCCTGTTCAGTGGCAAGCCCCGTGTCATGAGGCTTCCTGGCAGGGATTTAGCAGATTGAGGTCTGGAACAGCAATAACATGCGGCGCGCGCAGCAGCCATCATCTGCGCGGTGTCTGGGGTCATGAAGACGCTGCAGATGTAGTTGAGGCCGAAGGCTGTATAGACGAAGACGAAGGAAGTCTGACGGTTGCATGGGGTGTACCACTACACTACATGCCCTCAATCGTCCACGCCCTAATCCAGTCCGGGACACCCAGAAGATCGTGTGGTGGCTGGACTGCAGGGGTCCCAGCGGCCAGTAAAGAGCAGAGAAAAACCTCGGTTTGCATCGATGGGCGCCAGTTCCGAAGAACATTGCAGACACCCGCTCAAACCCTACACTCTGCAAGCCCTCAAACCTAGAAGTCGCGCAACAGCCAAGCAGCAGCGCTGCAAGCAACACCTCGGCGAGTGCTGCGATGTCGCGGCCCAAGAAGCAAAGGAAGGTGTTCCTCATCTCAATGCTTTAAGGAAGTTGGTCACAGGGCTTCAGTAGGAAGTCCTGACGTTCAGTTTTGAGGGAGTAGCCACAAAACAGCCGAGCCCGAAGGAGACCATGAGGAGCCAGCCTCCCGATTAAAATCCCAAAGAAAGCTCAAGTTCCTGGAAACCCATGCCACACAAGGCCAGACCTACAACCCAGTAAACTTGCCAGGAAGCGTGCCGACGCCAGCCTCCCGCCAGGCCACGAAGCGCTCGCGGCCGCCGAAGACGCGCTGCGCCGCCACTCCCTGGGCGTCTGTGGTTACATGTGGAGGTTGTTTATAATGGCTTTTCGGATTTGGCATTAAACCTGACCCCTGCCTGCGTGAGGAGCAGCAGGAAGAGGGCCAGCAGCGGATGCCTTGTGACTGCGCTGTGGGATCGAGAATCAAGAGACCAAACCGTGATGACACCGCTTGGATTTCTTCTTGTACCCGCTCTGCCGCAATTCTCGCGCTTGCGCACGTGAATCATGCAGCTAGCTCAGGGCTTCGACTCAAACTGGTCCTGGGTGATTCTACGTCCGGCATGACCTGCTTACCCCCTCCCCATTCCAGTCCAAATTTCAACGTCAACGCACTAGTTCTGGAGGGCAGACACGTCACATCAACTCTTGCTGCGCAGCCTTTGCGGGAGCACAAATACAGAAAATGGCAAGGCCGGCCACCAGCAGCATGTTGTTCCACAGCACCTTCACTCCAGCAAGGCTTCATCATTTCAGGACTGCATGTGGGATGCGACAACTCTCGGCTGCAAACCCAACCAGGCTTCTTCTGGTTAGCATCAGGGGCTTTAGGTTTTGCAACAGATATTTAATTAGGGCTTAGGATGGTTTATGGCTTGCGCTTTGAACGGTTTAAAAAAATTTACTCCCACCTTATCTGAAGCCACACCCCCAAAACCTCATGGTCTGCCTGCTGTCGGTCCCGCTGCAATTGGACGGCTGCCCGCTTCCTCAGCAATGGCGGCGGGATATTTGAGATGTACCAGGTAGCAGGGGGACACGGCTTATGGGCCTAAGAGGGGTTAGCCTGTTTCCAAGCGTTTGGGCTTTGAATGCTCTTAGAATCTCTTAGATATCTCAGGTTACAGCTTCGCGTAGGTAGGAAGCCTGAATGCAGCATTTTGGAAGGTCCAGGGCCGGCGGACTGAGCCCAAGCGGCTGTTCGCAACTGGTCCCTGCTACTCACCCCCCCTTATGCATCTTATGTCCACCATGCCCACGAAACCCTGAACCTTGGATTCGAAAACCCCCCTGAAGCCCTCCGTCTTCCGCCACGGTGCATGTGAACGAAGATTTCCTCACCCCACGTACAGGTCCTCACTGCTAAATCGGGCAGCCTCGGCTCAGTGCCCAGAACTTGTCTTTTCACCAAGATGCTCAAAGAGCCTTCAGTTCCCAGCAATGGCTTGGGGCGATCCGTGACGACTTGTGTCGCGAACCACTTAAACCATCCTACACCATCCTACAACCTAAGGCCCTGGAAATCCCTGGAACCTTCTACTCTACGTCATACCTCAAATTGCCACTTGGCTTTTTGAGACTGTGGGGAAGCTGAGGGTCTTCAATGGCTTTGGCCTCACAAGTGGCTACGACTACGAACCCGGAATGCCCAGTGGCGGCACGTCCATTTTCGCGGGTGGGGCCTCGCCCAGCAGGTTCAAGGCTCAGGGTTGGGCGTTTAGGGCGGCGTCCAGGCTGTACTTCAGGGGTCTTGGAGGTGGATGGGGTCAGCAACCCCAAACCAAACCCCTAAAACCCAAAACATCCCTGGCAACCCTGATCCCCAACAACCTGGTAACCCTCAGGGCTTTCCGGGCTTCACCTGGTGGTAGGCATCCTGGTGCTGGGCCCATGTCTCCTTTGGAGGAGGGTCCGGGGTGAGTTGAGGACTTAGGTTAAGGAGTTCTTAAGAGCTGTTGGTGTTTTGGAAGTGAGTTTAAGGCTGAAGGCATGGGGTGGGCACTCCAAGGATACTCGGGACTCTGTGCAGGCTTATCTGTGCAGTGGCCAGGCAACGGAGACCGGGCGGGACACTGGGCGAAGAGGTGAGGGAGCATTGTCGATGTAAACATACCGAGGGGGAAAACAGTTCGTGACACCTTGTTCTTCTGGTCCGAGGCTCTGCCAGCCACTTTCCGAAGCGCATGGGACTTTGCATGTCGGCGCCGTTCTGCTTCATGTCGCCTTTAGCGAGCATGGCCTCGTCTGCTGTAGAGAGCAATGGAACCGGTCAGGCAGAAGGAATTGCATAACTCTGCGGGCAGATTTTGGACATTTCGTGATCTTGCCTGGCATAGTTCTGCCGCATGTGTGGCACTGCCTGGCCAAAGAACCTCAAATCCTAGAGCCTGTGCTGAGTGTACGAAGCGTTTACGAGACTTACTTGCCGAAAGCAAGCCCGCTGGCACCTCAGGTCTGCAAAGCTTAGAAGCCTTAGAGGGCATAAAGTTCTGGGAGCTTCGGGCCTCATAGGCTGACTCATAGGACAGGCAGGCGGAGGGGCTCTGGCTCTCAAACCAGAGAAAACACACAAAGCAGCCTCAAAAGCCTTCGGGACCTACATCCCAGAGAGGGTTGTGCAGCAAGTCGCTGCAGCGGCGTCCGCAGTGATGGCATCCAGGAGGGTATCCGCCGGGTTAGCCTTGGAATTGCGAGCGGGTCCGAGGTTGAGGCAAAGCGCGTAGGAATGGGTTTACATATGCTTGCCAAGGCTTTTCGGGCAAAGGTGGGGTCCCGGGTTTCGGCTAGGTATTTGCAGAGCTTGCAGTATGAGGGATCAAGAGCTCAGGTTCAGGCTTCAGTGTTCAGGTAGAGATCGGGTCAGGTGGTAGAAGGAACGTAGATTGTTACAATGCTACACCGGGGTCTGTCAAGACAAGTTTGTCGCTTCACTGCCTCATTTCTAACCAATTACGATGTTATCGTAAGATCACACGCGCACGTGCGCATGCCCGAAGCTTTGCTTCAGGTTCACTTGGGTACGGTAGAGTAAAGTGTAGCTTGAAAGGAGCTATTGTGTGGGTGCTTAAGTCACTTCAGTCAAAAAGCTGCGTGAACTAAGTAAACTGAAGCCAAGGCTTGGGTTTACATACCTTCCATGATCTGGAGCCCTGAAAGAAGCATCGGGTCCTAGGGCCGCATGGGTGTCCTGTTTGCAATCCCCTTGGGGGGACCCTAGCGAATTAGTTCAAGAGGTGGGAGGGATATACACCCGCAAAGAGGAACTTGCCTTTTGATGTCCTCCTGGTGTCATCCACAAGCCCCTGGTAAGATCAAATGTTGCCTTGCCTCTTGCAGCAAGGATGCTTTGGGCGGGAATCGCACTCCCAGGACGTCCGAGAAATAGCGTTCGACGTCTGCGGTGGGCCCGGAGTACACAAGGTAGCCTGTAGCTCCGAAGGGCTTGGGGCTTTGCATTTTCATAAAGCCTCTGAGACTGCACGGCTCCAGTGCAGAATGCCGCTCTCAACATGATGTCCCCAACAGCTTTGAGGGTTTATGGGTTCAGGGTGTACGCTTTTGAGGGTCCCGCATGTGGGGGCTGAAGGGTTTAAGAGTCTCAAATGGTTTCCCGCGAGCCCCCTGCCACAAAAAATCTGGTCCTAAACCCAAATCCCTCCAATTAAGCCTTTAATCCCCTGACTCCAGATTAACACGCGCACCTCCGGCCGCAAGAAGGATCACATTATCAAAGAGCCGCAGCGTCTCGTAGCGCGGCTGATGGATAACAGCCTCAAGATTGCGGATCGCAGCTTTAGGACTCTAGGGCCCGTGGGGCCTCATGAAGGGCTCGGTTCAGGTTTGAGAGCGAGGATAGAGGATGCGGCGTGAGAGTTGAAGAACCCTAAATTTCACGCACTAAAACCCGCCTAGCAAGGCAGAAGGCTCTGTCTCGGCTGTGTGCTAAAGGATGCCGAGGCCCAGGGCAGACGACTCGAGCTCGGGGCAGTTCAAACTTATGCATCCTCAAAACTTCAGAGTTCGAGTGAAATCGTCAGATGATTCATACAAAGCTCGTCCCCGGCCAAGCCACAATGGTGGTGCACCGCTGCTTTTTGGCGGCTTGTGCCACAACATCCACCACCGCGTGCGAGGTGGTGGAATCCTCATAGACTTGAGAGTCGAGACCCCAGTCAATGCAAAACTCCGAAACTCCAACAGTTTCAAGACCCTTCTGAAGAAAGCGCTCGCTTTTCAGGGGGTCACCAACCTCTAAGGGAACATCCGGCATCCTCTGAAAGCATGGGAAGCGTCCAGGCCGCTTGTCGGCTCATCCAGAAACAGCAAGGAGGGCCTGGATCAGTCGGCACTCTCCACCCTGCACCCAACCCTAAAACCTCGAACCCCAGCCCTAACAACTGGACCGACAAGCGATCTTCTAGAACCCAATCCCCTAGACCCCTGAACACCTGGGTTGAGAGGAATCGGCTCCCCTCCTCACCGCTGACAAGGCCTGTTGTGAGTTAGGATTTTGGGGCTTCTACAGGAGTTTTATAGGCAATTTATAGGGTTTAGGGCGCAGGGTTACGTATGGAGGGATGTGCAGCTGTAAAGACGTGGCCGCAAAAGGCCTGGAGACGAACTCCATGGCAATGGACACCCGCTTACGCTGACCGCCAGACACACCTTTCACCTTAGAGCTGGGTTTTTGAATCCGGGGCTTGCAGGGTTGGAGCTTTGCTGTTGGGTGTCGGGTTTGGGTTTAGGGTTTAGGGGCTCTAGGCATTAGGGTGATAAGGTCGGAAAATATCGAGGCGTGCCGACAATAACCACCGAGGCCCCCACGTCTACTCGCTAACGACCCCCCACACCCCACCCCAACCCCCCCCCCCCATTGGGGAGGCTGAGGCCGAGGCTTATGTGTAGTGGGGGTTTCAGAGCTTCTGGGCCACTTTCTGCTTCATAGGGAATGAAGAAATCCGAAACTCTCTCAAGTCCCTGGTTGCAACCCTAGCTTCTCAAATCTCTAAGCCTTCGAATTCCATCTTCCTAGAGGCAATGAACGTTCATCTTAAACCCTTCTGTCAGCTCCAGGCCTGCTCATCGCCGATGGCCGTCTTGCGAAGCTGGGGGTTTCCCAACCCCAACTGCCTGTGGAGTTTGGCTCTCGAAGGGTCTCAGGTTCCAGCAGACTGGTCCTTTAGGTTCTTTACCCTTTCATCATCAAACGCTTTGCGCCCCTTCAGGTTTCCCTGGCGCCTCCAACTACCCGCTCAGAAGTTGGGGTGTTTATGTGTATGTCTCCCCACCCCCACCCCTCCCCAGACTCCAATCCTAAGACCTCAACCCAACACATCACGATGATAAACACGCAAGCATAAGCTTTGAGAAAGGTCAAAACAACTATTGCGAGGATGCCCCAGAAAATGCAATCAGCCGTCAGAGGCATCACCGAGGGACTCGAGGATGTCCGTCGAGGCTGCCTTTGACGGGAGGCTCTGGCGATTCAGGGTTGAGGACTGAGGGCTTACGGCTTAGGGTGGTTGAGGCTTCCTGCAAAGCGCCTCGCATTTCGAGTTTCGGGGGCTCAGATTTTGGGCTTGAGGGCGCGCGCTGGAATCAGGAAAACCCAAAAGTGAAACTGCAAGTCAGCAAAGGCAACACGGCAAGGCCTCGCATTGCTTGGCCCGCTCCACAAGTGAGGTCCTCTAGGGCGAGCGGCGTGGCGTTGATGGTTTAGGGCTCCTTTGAGATGATAGTTCATATTGAACAAGTTTAAACCCGGCCCCCAAACTAAAGTTGCCCCTCCCAACCCCAACAGTAAGCTACAAGTCTGGACCCAAGACTTCCAGCTGAGACTGAGGGCCAAGGATGGACAAGGCACACACCCTCGCCCCGGGGCAGCCGCATCTGCGATTGGAAAGAGACGTTCCTCGGACCAAGGAGAACTTTTTTCGAATAGGGGCAAGCCTTAAAGCAAGCTAGGGCACTCTTCCACCGTCAAGTTCCGGTGCATCACGTCATCCTGCGGCACAAAGCCTCAGAAGACCGGGCATCCCTCAACGCATGGGGCTCTTGAGCTGGGGGTTTAGGGGTGTTCTGCAAAGCCTGCTCCTGAGGGGCCTGAGGTCGCCAAACTAGAGAACGGCTTTCCTTGCGCGGATGGCCCTTGCTCCAGCGGACTGCAAACGCCACGAACCTTTTGATAACGCTTTCGGGAAAAAGGTTTGATGCATCGGTCTTTCACATCAGGCGGTGGCGAAACTGTGAAAGAGCATCATATGAGCGCCTGCTTGCTTCGGAATGCTCCCCTTGGCCTGCTAGGGCCAACACAGCAGCTCGGCGGCAATGCATAAGTTCTTCCCGGTTCCTGCTGAGGGTGCCCGTTGCATGCACAAGCGCCGCAGCACTTGGGCATATGGCATACGTCCGAAAGAAGCTTCCTTGACTAGGGGTCGCGGACTATGGTTGTTCATGGAGATCAGCATTGACCAGCTTTCCGCACCGATCTGAAAAAAGAGATTTGCCTTGGCATGCACTGTCAAGAAATGTGCGCAACCCACCCGTGGCCATCTCAGTGTCATTATCCGTGTTGGGTGGCTCTGGTTGGTTTCGCTGTGGCGATTCGGTGTTCTTGGAACCTTGGGGTGTTTGCATGTCTCAAACCAAGGATTCAAGCTTAGGCCCCTTTACATCTACAAACCCTCGAAGCCCCTAAAGAAGCCGAGACTTCGCTGGGGAGCCGGTGACCGAGCGCAGCTCTGAGATGGCCCGGCCCTCTCCACAGGTGCCGTTGATCCGGATCTTGCCCTGGAAGGCTTACGTTTCGAGCTTCTGGTTCAGGATTTAGGTTGAGGGTTCGGGGCTTGGGATCAAGGCTGTTCTGAGGTTTAACCGTTTAACCGAATGTGGGTAATATTGCATTATTGATGACTACCCATGAACCTCCAAGTGAGACTCGAATCCGCCCGTCTTCAACCCCATAGCCATCATAGCCATCATAGCCATCATAGCCATCATAGCCATCATAGCCAATCATAGCCATCATAGCCATCATAGCCATCATAGCCACCATAGCCACCATAGCCGCTTATCCAAGATCCCTAACTGCTTGGTGACTCACGTATGGTCTCATGGTAGTGGCGACCGCTGATGCCGGCTGGGCCGACAAGCGAGACCATCCCATCTCGTTGTTTGCAGTGAGATATGTGGGCGGCGCAGGGGACATCTTCGCGAAACTACATTCAAATACCGGCCGCTTCTCATGTCAAGCTGCACTTCGGTTCTGGACTGAAATAACCGTTTCGTCCTTAACATCCAGAAAAACCTTGCGGAAAGGGAGTGCTTCTTTTGTCGCCTGGGTTCCGTCATACAGTTGGGGATAGATAATTCCTGACCCACAGAGGTCCCAGAGAGGCACCCCCACCTGGATTTTGCCATAGCCCGCACGGCCGCTCAGGACATTCATGATCGAGGACCTGATCTGGCAGCCCGAACTCTAAAAGGAAAGCCCGCATCATCCTGCATCCCCCAAGTAAGGCTTTGGAGGTGATGGCGGAATTCAAGAATCGTGGGACGGACTTATTGCAGAACACTTCCATCTGAAGTCCCTTGCAAAGTCCCCACACCACAACCCAGCTTTGCACGCGGACTTTTTTGCTCTCTTGCAGCGCAGCCTATCGAGACCTGCCACCTCCAGGTCCTACAGAAGCAGGGCCTACGACCCATAACGAACCCTGACCCCATGAACCGTAACTAACCTCCCTAAACCTAAACCCTACGCCTTCCAAACCCCAAAACTCCCTCAAGAACCGAACCGATCGGCTCTCAACGCCGACTCTGGAGCTGTAGCACGACCTCCTCGCCGCCCGCGGTGGTAAACTCCACGCTGAGGAGGCCAGCATTCCTCGCTGCCTCGAAGAGCTGGGCCTCTGCTCTCGTGCTTTTGGGGGCATCAAGTTTCGGAGGGGCTAGGGCTTAAGGTTGTTTCTTGGGCTTTTGGGGAAAGAGGGCGGGGGGACGGGCTAGCGGGGTTGAGGGCGCTTTCATGTTCAGAGTGTAGCGGTTTTGGTGGGGGTGGGAAGATGTAGGGTTGAAGGTACTTTCTTGAAGGCTGGCTCAGTACGGAGCAACAACCATAAGGAAGAAACGTGAATGGAGAAGCTGCTGAAGCAGGCTCAAACTTCTTAACCGCAGGTTTCTTAGAACTCAGATGCTGAGCGACTCAACTGTCAATTTGGGCAGTTAGTACTCGAAGGCTTCAGAGGCCTTAGAAACATGCAATGCAACCTCCTATACGACCTGACGCCACAAATTAATTGTCAAAGGCCTAAGACATGGTATCTCAAGAACAAATCATGCCACGAGGGAAATGCTCTCAAAACATTCAGGGAACTACCTTGCTCGGCTTGGACGGCTTCTCTGAGATTATGCGCTGCAGCACGCTGCGCCAGAGATGCCGATTCGAATCGATGGTCTCGCTGAGCCTCTTCCTTGGTTCTTAAACTATCAAGACAGGCAGTTCCACACCCCGAAGCCTTTGGGGCATAGAAACTTGCTTTGATCATAAAATGTTAAGAAAGCACCCCAGGCACAAGGCCCCGTTCCAGGGCAAATTGTGCTCTTCTCGCTGCTCCGATGAGCCTGTTCCCTCTGAGAACAGCTCGAAACTGTCACATCCATAGATGGGCACGGTGCCGGCATACACTGCGCGATTCGTACCGTCCACGGCCGAGACCACACCGTGCGTTCCGACCATTACCTGAGCAGAAAGAAGCTTCGCTTTCTGGCCTCAACGTACATGGACGGGAGAAGTCTAACCCAGACTCCTCTCTCAAGAAAGTCGAGAAAGGAAGATGTTCAGCAGCCTAAACCCAAACAAAAGACATAACAGAAGCCTGGCTGCAAAATTCTTGGGCTGGGCCTTCCAGGAGTCTGGGATCGGCTCCATGACGAGGCTCCTTCCCGCTGGCTCCAGGAGCCCCGAAACCTCCAGGCAAAGAAAAAGCAACGCTTTTTATTCCCCCCATCATCTTCTGGCTATTCTCCTCGGCCGAGAGGCATGCGGAACAAGCAGGGCTGCCGAGGCGGCGTGCGCAAGCATTTACAGTTACTACCATTTTTCAATCAGCATATATACATATATATATATATGTAAGATCACGAGTGCAAATGCAAGGACTTATACTGATACTGATACTTCTATGAATCCTTACCATTTCCTGTCTTCTACTTCATCTTCATATCATTGTGGCCGGTATGAGCTTCGTATGATCTCATCAGCTTCGTTCTTGGCATGCAGGGAACATGGGCGGCACGCTTTGCACGAAAACAGTCATAATGGAAATCTTAATTTGCATAATGATAGTACCCATAATCGATAAGGATAATCATAATGGTGACGGCAATGGCAATAGCGAGTTAGAGCATAAAGGGAGAAGTGCCAGGGTGAGGTGCTTCAGGGTTCGAGGGCTTGCAGGGGCTCAAGAGAAAGCCAACCTCGTAGATGCCGGTGACGTTTTTGCCCTTCTTGGCCTAGGTGCTGGTTGTGGCTCACTTCAGGGAGGTGGTGTTTCTTGGATCTTGCTCGTGGTGTTTGTTGGCCTTCCTAGTCGTTCACATTCAATAGAAGACACTGCTCGTGGTACGGGTGCACTGTGCTTTCCTAGCTTGGGTGGTGCAAAACAAAGGAATCAACGGAAAGCCAACATTCCTCCATGTGGCGATGATGAAGGTTAAATCCGCTCGTATCTGCTCCTTGCCATTGACTGACCTTGGCTGCTCTTGAAACCTGGAGCAGCTCGGCCCTTTTGATGTCTTGGTGGGAGAAAAATAAACAAGCACGAAAGTTGTGCAACATAGGTCCCAGCATCGTGACATCAGTGATGTCGAGGCTAAACTGAGTGCGGCCCTGGGTGCAGAAGTAGGAGCCCTGCCAGGACTGCCCCTTTTTGAAGACGCCGGTGACCTCATTCTGCATGGCTGCATCCTCCCTCCAGAGCTCCTTGGCTTGGGCCAAACAATAAGATACCACTCCACTGAAGCATCTCAATCTGTTTTAGGAAACTCCACCATCCCTTCCGAATCTCTTTCAACATCGCCCCCTACTGAATCCGGCTGGCCACCTACCTGCAAGACCCCGCAGCCCACTGATGGCGCTTCAGCATTATGATTCGGGAGTCGGCAGTGTGGTCCAAGGCTCATATAGCACCTGGAGTGAGTCCACAGCCGTCCTCCAGTCCCAAATGTCTGCAAAGAACACCTCGAAGTGGCCGTAGCGCTTGACCACTTTCTCTTGGTCCTCCGGCTGCAGGTGGCTGACATCCAGCGTCGTCACTAGGTGGTCCAAGTCGGCAAGCACGCGGGCTTGGCTGACGTGCGCCGGAAGCCGAAGCCAGGGGCGACCAAGGCCTGGCATCAGAGCCCGTAGCATCTGCTTCAGCCCCTCCACGGAGCGGAAGGCGCTCAACTGGACGTAGGAGTCTGTCTTGGAGCGGCGCGGGGCCTCCACGAGCTCCTGGCGCCTTGCAAAGCTGTTGAGGCGAAGGCCCTGCTCTAGCATGTCGTCGGCGTTGTAGTACAAGGCAGCATGGGAAACATCCTCGATAGTGGCAAAGGGCCCAGGCAAAACCTGCACTACTCTGGACAAGGCATCCGAGGGGAGGCGCACGCTGTCATCGGCACCAACCTCGGGGCGCCAGCGGACAGTGGCCACGTGGAGCTCACCCAGCAGCCAGCCGAGGCCATCGAGGCCATCGGGCGCCAAGAAGGCGATCTCGTCAACAGCCTTGCTTCGCCGTGCCAGGTCCTTCCATTTGCTCGAAGACTTCGAAGACTTCGAAAACATTACAGTTCCAGTGGCTCCAGGACTTGCTTCGCCCCTGCAAGGCTTGCCAGCAGGCGTCGTGAGATGTTCCCAGGCCACGAGGCGATGAGAGGGATCCCGATCGATCCACCACAGCGTGGCTCCGGCATCATGAGGCATCAAAATCCTCGCGTAGTACCACTGTCCATCACCCTCCCACCGACCCAAAACAAGGTCCCCAGTGCCACAAAGCTGTGCCTCACATTGGTAGGAATGTCGCCAAACCTCACCACCCGACAGCCGCCCGCGTACCCACAAGCGAGGGCCTCCCTGAACCGGCTGGATCTGGAGGCTCCGTACCACGACCGGGCGCGAGAACCGGATGCTGCCAATGGCACCGTTCAATCGCAGCGCGGCTCGTGGCCCGGATTTTCGGGATGTTCGGGACTTGGATCTGGCCGCCCATCTCCTGGGGGCCAACGTGTCGTCAGGAGGCAGCTCGGCAGGAACCACCTGCCAGGGTCCTGCCCATGTGGCGGACACACCACTTGGCAACCCGAGCGAGAAGCTTCGAGAGAGGCCCAGTCCACCTCCCATGGGCAGTCGTGAGAAATCCAGGCGCCCCTCCACACCCAAGGACTTCACGTACACCTCCTTGACCTTCGAGAAGTCTTCCAGGAACTTGTTGAGGATCAGCGTGGCCTGCTTATTTGCAGAGGTATCGGCGTCCACGGCGCTTTTCACGACGTTGGATGCAGAGAGCTCCAGGGTGGCACGGGGGTCTCCGAAGAGATGTTGCGGCACAATGCTGTCCAGTGTGAAGGGCCTGTGTCGAGCAGTTTCGATTTCAGGCAGGCCTCTGCAGAATGGGCCATCCTTCATTGAGTCGCAGGGCTGGGCCCATGCATGTTGGGCCGCCTCATCGAAAACATCATCCTCTGCACACACTATGCGGTTCCTGATTTGAGTCAGGAACGTTTCGTAGCCGGAAGAAATGGAGAGTGCTGCATCACCTGTCCTGGGAAGGATGGACGTCAGGATCAAAGACAGGACTATCGCTGCCATGGCCAAACGGGCCAACCCTCCCCACAGCCCCACGGTAAACTCATGGAGTTCAATCGGGCCTGAAAGCCTCAATGGCTAGGCCAGTGAAGCCCCGAAGTGCCAAGCTGCTACCCGCTGCTACAATCAACCCCAGACCCACAACCCGACCCTTAACCCAGCACACTCGCACTTCTTGAGCCGGGAAGGACAAGAGATCGCCATGTCTCTGTGTGATGGTTTCGGGTTCAGCATTTGGGCAAGGGAAGTTAAGGGCCGAGCTGGGGCGAGATCCAACCACAGAAACCCGACCGAACCTCAATCCTAGATCCCTCAACCCTTAAATCTCAGACTCCTGCGCCCCTAAGCCCTCAGCCCAAGAACCACTAAACCCCGAGATCCTGAAAGCCCGACAAACCCAATTACTAAGCCCTAAACCCGCCCAAGCTCATGAAACCTCAAACCCCCGAAACCGAAAACCTAAACATGCACAGCCCCCAAACCAACCTAAATCTGAGACGGCCCAACCCTAAACCCCTTGGCCGGAGCCGGGGAACTTGCCACAGCCACTTGGGCCCATGACGGCCACCGTACCTTCATCTAGGGTCTGTAGTGAAAGATTTTGGGTGATCCAGGTGGCCTATTCAGGGAGGGCTCCTGGGCAAGTGAGGGGTAGGATTTGTCAGGCGCCGTGCATCCAGCAGGCTTCACACAGCGTCACCTCGAAGAAAACAACGCTGCCTTGAAAACCTTTCACTCTCAAGTTCCACGAAAAGCCTGTCTTATGTGTTGTTCTTTATGGAATCAAGGACCCACAGCGGCCAAGCCACATCCAGCAGGAATGTCCAGGTTGATACCACTTAAGATCACCTCAATTCATTCCGAGAGCAGAATGTCTGGGACGGGGCGGTTCACCACCACTCTCACACAATCTCAACCCAAAATCATACGCCGGTAGCCAAAACCCACAAAATCGCGAGAGCCAAAACCCCTGGTAGCTGCTAGCCCAGATGCCTGGCCGTTGGGCAGCAGCAACGACACGTCCAGCAAACTGAAACTGATGCCGTAGCCTGTGAGACCTGTGCCACATGCGGGGAGGGTTCTACTGCAGCATTTCGAGAACTTCGGGCCCGTGCTTTCCAGACCCACAACCAGAAGAAACAGACCTCAAGTGCTTGAAAACCCAGCTCGTGCATCTCCAGATCTAAACCAGCCACTGCCTCCTAAACTTCCAAAGTCCGGCCCTGAAGCAGATCCCCATCTCTCTCGGAGGCTTTGCGTTGGGTTTCGGATTGGGTTTGTTTCTTGGGCGCCATTCAAGTCTAGGGTTCTCGGGCTTAGGGCTTAGGGCTCAGGGTTGAAACAAGTTGCTCCCGCCATCACTGTGAACCTCTCCCGGCTCGGCCGGATGCGGCGCGGCATCTGCCACAGAGCAAAAGTTGGCACTGGCGGTTTCAGGATTCTGCACGGTTTGGGGGATCAGCAGTCAGCAGCATGTTTATGGCTTATGGTTTGCAGGTGCCAAGACGTTCCATGTCTTGCTACTTGGACTATCGTGACATGCATGCACTTGAGCTCTCCGCTCTGCAAGACTGAACAGGCTCAATCCCACACAGCCAGGCTACTCCTGAAGAGCCCTAATGCCGGGCGGCCATCAGTTCGGCCAACCGCAACAGACGTCAAGGAGGCCGTGACCTTTTCACTTGTGTAACTAGATTGTGGTTGGGCGAAGGGGTTGAGCGCACCAGTTTGGAGTTTTCGGCGCCCAGTTTCAGAAGAAGCTGGGAGACCTCCACAACCTCTCAACGCTGAGGCAGAACTGAAATCGGAGCCTCCCAACTTCTAGCGACCCCGAGCCCAGAACCTGAAGAATCAGAGTCCCTAAACGCCCTAAATGTAGTCCTACACCCTAAGCCCATGAACCTCCACACCGTGAACCCTTCAAGTCCCCCTCCAAGGCACTGAAGCTGCGGCCTCACGAAAGCCTTGCTCTACATTGCTCCTCGAACAGCCTCTGGTGCGGCGCAAGGCTTAGGGCATCTAAGGGTGTGGGTTCAGGGTTTGGGGTTCAGGGTTTGGGGCTCAGGGTTTGTCAGGGTTTGTCAGGGTTTGTCAGGGTTTGTCAGGGTTTCTGGTGCATTTGGGTTTGGTTTGCTAGCATGTTCAGGGCTTTAGGGCGTCAAGGCGTTTTCCGACAAAGCCCCATGTAGTGGCAGCTACTCATTTGGGCCAAACTGGGCCTCAATCGCTTCTGGTTCGAGGTTGAGGGGTTCAGGGAGCACCTCGGTCGTAGAGGATGCAGATCGCGGCCCAAGCAATCCAAGCCAGGCACAGAAGCACATACCTCAGCAAAGGGCAGGAATCCTTATTCGATGCAAGATTGCTTTTTGGGGAGAAAGCTACAGGCTCTACAGTAGAGCTGTAGCTGGGACATGACAGCACACGAAAAACTGCAAAAGGTCCAAGAACAACACTTTTAACAAGAACATCCCGCAATCCCAAACTTCGAAGCCAGGGTGCGCAATGGCCCGAGCCCAGTAGCCAAGGAAGGCGATGGTGGCAACCCTTTCAGGCTTCGATTTTGGTGCAGTTGGTTCAGGGATTTGGAAACATGACTCTGTTTTCAGGGCCACGTCTATGATCTAAGGCATGGAAGCGCCAGTCCGGGGTTTCAGAACTGTTCCGATTCACCCAACCCGAACCTGCGAAACAGTCACATCAGGTCCAACACACAGCCTTTAGAGGCCTCGAACGAGCTCCTGTCGCCTCGAAAACCGCAAAACAATGCTCCGCCTCCACCTGATTCTGGAATCTGAATGCCACAAGCCCTGAGCACCGCGGCCGAAAGGCGTGCCCGCATAGGCCGCCAGAAGCAACAGGAACTTGGAATTTTGGTGGAGGCTGGAGAGGCTGCCGCCGAAGAAGTGGTAGGCAACCTCGGGGTCGGCTCGGGTATGTCAGGCTTCAAGGCTCGGTCATGTTCAGGTGTAGGTTCTGCTCAACGTCAAGGGCTCCGGGCTCAGGGTTGAGCGAGTGCAAGGTTTGCGTTGGGGCGGTGGGGGGTTTGGGGCATGAAGACCTCCCCGCCCCAGCACCAAAGCCCATCATTGTTGTTTCCACACGGGCACTTTGCCCGTGAACTTTTGAAGCACGCGTAAACACTTGAAAACCTTAACCCCTACGCCCCAGGCCTAGACACTACTGTCTTCCGTCCTCAAGCCATTTTTGCTAGGCAAGCTCGCAATAGACCATCTGGGCCATGTGGCAGACATGAAGGGAATCAGGATTGCCAAGAAGCCTCAGCATCATGGGCTCCATGTTCACGGACCGAGGGTGTAAGAGTTTGGCTTGAAGGTTGAAGAAAAGTGGCATGCAGAAAGGAGAAATCTCGGAGTTTCGGACAAAGAGGCGAGTCCTGTCTTTTCGTTCTGTCTTTCAGGACACGGTCTGCCGACCTTTCTTTCTTTCGTTATGCTTGAAGCCGTCTCGGATGTGCATCTAGCACAAATGAATTCAACGCCCATGCACCTAATTAGACACCTCAACCACTGTCTCACTGACTAGTGTGCACTCACTGCGGATTGCAGCCCCCTCCCCCCCTCCCCCCCTCCCTGCGCACATGTTCCCTGCAACTTCGCCTACCTTTCCTCAACCCTGAACTCTAAGCCTTCGCTCCTCTCCTCCCCCCCTTCCCCCGCCACCACCAGAAACTGCAGTTGAAGCGGCAGGCTGCTGCCACGTCGCCAATCCTCATTGGCCGCGCAGAGGCACATAGCTCCAACACAGCACGTCTCACTTCTTTCTTGAGAAAATGAACACCGTCTGTCCCTTGGGCTGCCTAAACCCACGCCCCGGTTGCGAAGCCTAACGTGTTTTACAGTATAACGACGCTCCAACCATCATCTCAACCATCTCCATCCCTCGAGCCCAGAAAGCACCAAAAAAAGAAGACAGGGCCGTCTGATACAAGAAACAGAGGCCCTGAGACCATACAGCGCATAGCACAGCCGGAGACTCATCAACCCGCAACCCGCAGCAGCTATGGCCAGGCAGACTTGCTCCAAAAGCATGAAGTCCTGCCACAACAGCAAAGGAGCGGGGCGACGTAGGTTTGGAGGCGCACAGACAGTGGATATTGCAGCTGTGAACAGCTCTCCTGAGTACGAACCCGAACAACCAAGGACACAACACATCACAACACCAGCTCTCTTTCTGTAGATGGGCCACGCGCGGCAGATTAAACCTTGAACCCTAAAGGTCTAAACCTCTAATATGCCCCCAAAAAATACCCGGACTAGTCATTCTGGTCGGGAGACGGAAGGAACCTGTTGAAAAGGAGCTCCAGCCAGACGTCCAACACTACCAAATGCGACTTTCGAGCCACCAAAGCTCCGCACGTACTAGATTTGTACTACAAAAGTTGACTTTCGAGCCACCAGAGCTCCGAATGTCCTCCCAAAAAAAGGTGGTGGACAGTTTCGCATGGAGCGAACCGCACGTTCAACAGCGACAACATGTTCGCATTTCACGAACCCCAACGTCCAAAAGCGACGACAGTTACGAGGATGGCGACGTCGATGCGCACGGCGCCTGGGCGAGAGCGCGATTTCCAGCATCGCGAATTGCGAATCCCCTTAAAACCACCCAACGGCGCAAAACGCAGATGGGACAACGGAGAGCACGATTTCCACCCACTAACACCACCAAATGCGCACGGGGCTTTGGCGAGAGCGCGATTGGACACCATCCACACGAAGCTAAAAGCATGAAATTTGCGATGTTTCAAGGCACCGAGAAATCCAAAAGTACACATTTTTCGTCCAAACATGTGAGGACTGCTC